CTTGTCCTTTTGCCAGAGATCATTAACTTTCTAAACCCATAAATTACAGCAGAGAATTCAAAGCGAAGCTTTATGTTAGTGAACAACCGTTGATTTCTTCTTCTAATTTCATCCATTATCCCTTTATATGCCAAGGCAGCATTCCATATCAAAACATGATCGGATTTCATACCTCGAAAAACACTTCAAGTTCTGAATGTGCCGCATCAAAACCTTCCAAGTAGCATGGGCATTTCAAAGAGATCTTAAAATTATTGTCTGAGTTACCACCACGTACAACGCAGAAGAAGAAATCCTCTGAGTCTGAAATTTGAGGTAGTTCAACAATCACAGGGCTTTGTGCTGCTCTGTATTTTAACCACTCTGGTACTCTGCTTTAGGGAACACAAATTGAGCAACGATCCCCGTAATTCTTATTTTTATTCGATAAATAACAAGGTATTGAACAAACAGCAGCCTCCATGATATTGTGAAGCGATTGTTCATTCAGTTGCACACAATTCTTGAATGAGAAGTCTATTGGGTCACCACGTGATGGCCTACAAGTTGACACAATTTCCAACGACTTGCAATCATCGCATTGCAGGTGTGCAATGGATGGTGCTAGTTCTGGTAAAGAACGAAGCCTCCTAGAAGCCCTTGCGCTAAGAGATTTCAATCCTAAAAGGTGTTTAGTATTACCGGGGAGTTCAATTAAATTCCAACAATCAATCAGCTCCACTGTTCTTAAAGACAACATGCCATCAAATAAGATTTGTAACTTTAAATCATCAATGATTCCACACGCGTAAAGCGAAAGAATAATCAAATTTGTCAGAAAAGATAATTGGTTGGGAAGGTTCACGAGCCTTGAGCCACTGAGACAGAGCTCTTCCAATTTACTGGAATGCCCTACAGACGAGTGCAAGATTTCTAATTCCTGTGTTACCTAAATCCAATCCTCTCAGTTCATCCGATGACGCTGAGAACTCCTTGAGATTCCAGCCATTTATCACATTGATATGTTATAGAGATCTTAAATGTAACTCACTTTTCAGACTCCTAAGTTTCACGCATCCATATAAGTTCAACTCAACAAGCGAGTGGAGAGACAAGATTGAGGAATGAACATAGCACGAACCTTTACATCGCCCAAGTACCACTACTTTTTGGAGAGATTGGGCAGCTCTTGTAGTTGTTTGGAACCACTAAGGTCTATCTCTTGTAAGCTCACAAAATCCTACACCAACGACGATGGAAAGTTCAAATGAGATCGCCAAGAATTAGAAGAAACGTCTAGCCCTTGAACATGCAAATGGAATAGAATTAGAAGAAACATGTACGTTGAAAATATATCTCACATGTTCTTAAAGTAAAAAATAGTATAAAAAAATAATCCCTAGAATTAAATTATTATAATATAACGAGATATATAGTAAGTATTATATACGTTTTTTCAATCAAATGAAAATAGGAAGTTTTAGTATTAATAATAACCATAAGATAATGTGCACAGCAGCTTCATTTAGGAACATTCTTTTTATCAGATAAAAACATGCACTGAGTGTACGCGTGGGCCAAAACATTTACGTAGCACCAAATCGCAAATTCCTTGTACTAGACATTAATAGATAAGCGAAAACGGCCCGCCCTATGACACAACATATAAAATACTTCCTCTCATCCTTAATACTGTCTCAGGTCATTAATATAAGATCTTATTTGATTTTTATTTTGATCCTAAATATAAGATTTCAATCCACTTCGTCTCTTATATTTATATATTTTTTCCTAAGATAGTTCTTCTAACAATAATAGTTCTAGCCAATACACTTTATTAGTAAAAATATTTTAGAAAATACATCATCTATTTATTATAAATAACTAACCTAACTTCTTTCCTGAATCTCTTCAAATTAGTCAGATAGCTCTTATAAATAGGACTGGAGGTAATATAAGAACTAGTTAACTAATTTGAATATATTAAAAAAGTTTTTTAAGTCAGTTATTTATAATAATTAAATATTGTCTTTCGTAAAATATCTTTACTAATCATGTACTTCTCCTGTCCTAAATATACGACCCTTACATTTGTATAAGGGTCTATATTTAGAAGAGGAGGAGTATTAGATAAATCTACCATTTAATTGAACATTTGAAATGCACAACTACTATAATAATTATTTAAAAAAACGGATAAATATAAAAAATAAAATAAATTGGGATCTTATATTTAAGAGTAAATTAAAAGTTAAACTAATTTTTATATTAATGACTGAAAGTAGTGTAATAATATTTTCAAATAATTCAAAATGCACTTTATAACTAGCAAAAGCAATATTCAATTCTCCTCATGCTTCTTTTTTTCCTTATTCGAGACTGCACCGGTGAAAAGATGATCCCTCAATAAAGGAACAAGGATGCAGCACACTTCTGATGATGCAAGCAAAGGAGGCTGGGGAATGGTTACAGAAATAAATATAGAGGACGAGATAATGAGAAACAGATTAGATTATACTCTTTTTGTCCTATTTATAAATTACTTCTAATGTATTTTATATAGACTAAGAAAAATTTTAAACTTTATTAACTCTCATTTAAAATTTAACAACTTTCCAACCTTATCCTTATTTAATATATATTATATTTCATGTAAATAAAATCAACATAATAATAAATAAGGGGTAAAATTGTATATTCATACAACAAATTTCTCTTAATGTTTTATAAATAGGACCGAAAAATACTTTCTCTCTCTACCCTATAACTAGGACCAGAGAAATATATCAATTTATAGGTGAGAAAAATTAGTGGGGAAAAAACAATAAAATAAATATTTTAAAATAATTTAATAACTTTATTAATCTTCTCAAATTACCCAACTTGATTTTCTATTAAAAGTCAAAGGTGGTACTGTTTTTTGGACAAAATGGTGGCTGCAAAACTCTTCATAAGCTGTCAGGGGTAACCTCGGTGGCCATGCTTCTGAATCCCAACAACACAAATACAACCAGCCTTTTTTTCCAACAAAATTTCCTATTAAACCTAGGCGGTCAAATATAAGCCTCAACGGTGGATTCAAAGCAAAGCTTTATGTTCAAGCCGTTTTGTTTTCTTGTGTTTTTTTTTTTGTGGGGGAGGGGGGTGGGGAGGAGCTTTATGTCAATGAACTACTGTTGATTCCTTCTTGTAATTTCCTACCTTCCAAGTAGCTTGCCCGTTTCAAAACCATCTAGAAAGTCAAATTGAAACTGTAATATGATGACAGATAAAATAAACATTATATATATCTCTCTCTTTTTTTATCAAATTAAAATAGAAATCTTTGCTAATAATAATAACCATAAGATACTATTTATGTCTGCAACATTTTCAATTCAAAACACCCTTTTTATCAAATGAAAACACTCTGAGAACTTGACAAAATCCAAAGACGAAGTCTCGAACATTCTCAATTGAGTTGTTTGAATGCTTAAGATACGTGTGTAAAATCAGAAAAATGTGGTACTTCAAATTATCAATAAAACAACCCAACCACACAAGATTATGTCTATAAAGCATGCTAGTACCAGCACATATACATTGCTCTTTTCACACAATTCAAAATACTCTTCATAACCAGCAAAAGCCATATTCAATTCTCAGTTACTCCTTATTCTTCTCTTTTCCTTTCTCTAACTGACACTTCACCTGTAAGAGTGTGACCCGTCAATAAAGTGAGAGGATGATAGAAGAAGAAGAAGATTAACATTCTCAATTATAATGATAAGCCACTAATCATCACTCCATTAAAATTTAATATGCGATAACAAATTGCACTTGCAAACCTTTAACAGGAATCTAAACAAGGCGCTTCTAAGAATGAGATTCTTCATTTGATGTAAAAAAAAGTTCAATTTTCTTAATATCATATAAGTAAAATAACGTGAATTACATTGTAACCTAGTGGCATAAATATTTTTTTACAAGTAGGAGGTTGTAGGTTCGATTTGCTTGTGATTTCAAACCCTTTAGCACACACTTTCATGTCTAACCCAATAGACAAAACAAATTAAATGATAAACACTTGTTCTTAATTTATGTAAAAATAAAATGTAACAATAGAAACCCGGTAAAGGGACACAACAATTGGAAAACATCTGAAGAAGTGAGCTTAATTATGCAAGAAAGCTTCAAAAAATTTCCTCAAACCCTAAATTGTGTTCAATTTTCTTCCCCTAATTTTAATGCCACTGACAATGTTGACCGATATCAGTTGTAAGACAATGCTCTGATCAATGCTAGCTAAGCTATTTAATTATATATTTTATTTTAAACCTATTTCTCCTTATTTCTTCTTCTTTCATCTTTTAAATTCCTTCAAAAATACCAATGAACCATCTTAACTAGTCTCTCTCAATTAAACTTATCTACAAATTTCAGGAATCCTACATTAAAGCCTAGTTTAATTATTATTATATTGTTCAAGTGTAAAAAAAAAGAAAAAGAAAGCTTAGACTATAAAAGACAATCTCACTTGGTTTATTAGTTTTTTTTTTTTTTGGAAAATAAATTTTCAAATCCTTCTTTATATAAACACCATTCACGAGGCAAATGCAAAAATAGAAGCCTAATAGAGAGATAAAACAACGAGAGAGAGAGATTACTTGCCTCAGGAATAAAGAAGTGAGTTCAGATTATATCCACTCTCTAAGTGTTGGCATGCGCACCCCCATCAAACTTGATTTCTTTTTAAGTGAGGCGGTGGTTGTTGGTCTTCAACATTGTGAGGCCTCTTCCTTTACCTCTCTATTTCCATTTGCTCAATTTCTGACATTCTGAGACAGATACTGGCCACACCCCGCATTCTTTGATCATTAACTTGCTTGTTTCTCGTTTGCTAGGGATCATTGCATGGTTATACGCAGCGAATTCGAAGCGAAGCTTTATGTTAGCGAAAGACTGTTGATTTCTGCTTCTAATTTCATCCACTATCATTTGACTTGCTGAGTCATCAGTCCATATAAAAACATCATCAGATTTCATATCTGGAAGAACCGTGCCATGTGTTGAATCTGCCGCTTTAAAACCTTCCAAGTAGCATGTGCACCCAAAACTTGACTTCCACCGTTAATTTCTGAATGAACATCAACTACAATGCAGAAGAAGAAACTCGTCAGGTCTGAAATTTGAGGGAGTTCAATAGTTACGGAGCTTTGTGCTGCCCTGTATTTGATCCACTCTGGTACTTTGCTTCCGGTAACACAAATCGTATAACGATGGAGGGATCTATTATATTTATGAATCGAACAATCACCCATGTACTTATATTTATGCAATAAACAATAAGGTATAGAATAAGCAGCAGCCTCCATGATATTGTGAAGCGATTGTTCAATCAGTTGCACACAGTTATTGAATCTGAAGTGCATTTGATCACCACTTGATCTCCAAGTTGACACAATTTCCAACGACTTGCAATCATCGGCAATTAGGGTTGCAATGGATGGTGGTAATTCTGGTAAAGAACGAAGCCTCCTACAACCCATTACGTCAAGAGATCTCAATCCTAAAAGATGCTTAGTGTTACTGGGGAGGTCAATTATGTTACCGCACCTCTTCAGCGTCACTTCTCTCAAAGCCAACATGCCATCGAAAAAGATATGTAGCTTCAAATCATCAATGATTTCACAGTCGTAAAGCCTAAGAGCATTCAAACTTGTCAAGCAGGATAATTGGTCGGGGAGGTTCACAAGTCTTAAGCCTCTAAGACCGATGCTTTTCAAGTTACTTGAACGCGCTACAGACGAGTGCAAGATTTCAATTCCTGTTTCGTCTAATTCCAAGTCTCTCAGTTCATCCGATGACACTGAGAACTCCTTGAGATTCCAGCACCTGAACACATCGATATATTCTAGAGATCTTAAATGTAACTCACTTTTTAGACTCTCAAGTTTCTTGCAGTCGCGTAAGTTCAACTCAACAAGCGAGTAGAGGGACAAGATTGAGGAATGAACAGAGCACAAACTTTCGCATTGCTCAAGTTCCACCACTTTGAGATTCAAGCATTTGGAGAGATTAGGCAGCTCTTGTAGTTGTTTGGAACCACTAAGGTCTATCTCTTGTAAGCTCACAAAATCCTATACCAGCAAAGAGAGACAGTTCAAATGAGGACATCCAGACGTTTCAACTGAATGAAAAACATGAAACACAAATAAGGTTATACATACATGAACGCCGTTCCAAAGCTTTTGTAGATGGCTATCGCGCATGCGGAGCTCAACAAGTTTTTCAGGACAAAAAGTGGACGGCAGAGATTTAAGGGGGAATCCATACCACTCTAGATACCTCAACTTATTAGGAAGAAATTTGAGACCTTCTGGAAGGTGCACATGACTTGAGGAAGTGTGGAAAGGAGAATAACTATTAGAATAAAATTTGAGATATCTTATATTAGGCATCTTCTTGAAAATGTCAGCTTCCAAATGTACATCTTTAATTTGAGAAACATCCAACATTATTCCTTCAACTTTCTTTGATCCCTTAAAAAAGAGAGTAAAGAAAACGTAGTAAGTAAATTACATAGTAACTACATTCACATTATTCATAAAGTAACAAGTATATAGGTTAGAAAAGAAAGTATGAATTTCTTACCCTGTTATTAGCCAAAACATCATAAATTTCTTCAAAATTGTATAATCTACTACGTCTTCCAGGTTCATCAATAGACTCTTCACGAACTATTTGCAAACCCATTTGTTGTATTAAATCATGCATTTCAACACGTGAACCATCACAGACGTCTATGAGAGCTTTGTCTTGAAGTGTTCTTACCCCAATTGCTCCACAGAAGCCAAAGCTATCTAATAAACTGATTACAAATTCTGTCAGCTGTCCCACCAAAAAGCAAGCAATGTCTAGAAATATTGCCTTCTCCTCCTCATCCAATCCATCATAACTCAACCTTAACACCTTTTGAATATCTTGATGAGGACTCTTCTCAAGTTTCCTTAAAGCACTCTTCCATTCAATTTCACTTCTACCACGAAGATATGAACCCAGGACTTTTAAAGCCAATGGAATTCCTTGTGCATAAACAACTGCCCTGTCTGTCAGTTCTTCATACCCCATTATGGGTAGGCTAGTGCTGAAGGCATTCAAGCTGAAAAGTTCGAGGGATTGATGGAACTCCAATTCCTTAACCTTATATATTATGTCAACTCCTTTGCTAAGCACGTGCTTGTCTCTTGTTGTGATGAGAATTTTACTTCCTGGCCCAAAGCAAAAAGGTTCTCCAACCAAGTCTTCTAATTGCCCCTTCGTACTGATATCATCAAGAACAACAAAAACCTTCATACGACTAAGCCTCGACTCAAGAAAAGAGGTTGCAGTATCAATAAGGGAATCATCCCTTAGGAGACGAGAGAGAAATTTACGGCGTAATTCAGTAAGTCCATTTTTAGACTTTGCTCTTATATTTTCCAAGAACCAAGAATAATCATAGTGGGAAGAATATTTTAAAAATATAGTTTTGGCAATGGTTGACTTGCCGATACCCCCCATGCCCCATATTCCAATGGTTTTTGTTTTGGCATCTTTCAACAATAATTCAATCTCTGCGCAGTTGTCCTCAATGCCTATGAGTCTTTTTAGTTCAGCTGGGGGGTACTTGTGATTCAGTTTCTGCAATATGTCTTTGACAATCTTTTGAATCAATTCGGATTCATCCCTGACATAAGAAAAATAAAAGGCCAAAGAGGAAAAATCGCAATTAAGCAGAAATATTGATTTATTAAAGACAAATGATAAACGATAAGTGATAAATAAACAGAGAATAAATTGTATAAAGTGTATAAATATAAATGATAAATGATAAAGACCTAAAAATGTTTACGAAAAATTGAATAAAATGTCTTAATCATTTGATCCATCACGTAAATCTCTGCAAACTCCATCATTTGTGAATAGAAGAAAATTAATGAATCTATTAATTACCTAAATGTGTGAGAGTCGTGACCAGCTAAGTTTGCAGTTTCATTAAGAGCTTGCTTCCACATTCGCATCTTGTGCCGGTCAACCTTTAGCTCTCTCTCATATCTCTCAAATGCTTGCTGGTAAAGGCCAGTCTGATTGCGTACACGAGACGGGTCGACTTTGTAGAAGACAGGAATAACAATCTGTCCTTGATCTCTTTTGCAATGGAGTATATGGGCAAGTTCATCCAAGCACCATCTTGAAGAAGCATAATTTTCAGAGAACACCACCAGAGATACATATGAATCCTCGATAGCTTGCAGAAGTGATGGTGCGATCTCATCTCCTTTCACGAGCTGGTAGTCTATGTAGGTTGTGATACCTTTTCTGTCGAAAGCATGATAAAGATGGCTAGTGAAGCCGAAGCGAGTGTCCTCACCCCTAAAGCTGATGAAAACGTCATACTTCTTGCGGAGGGATTGAGCAGAGGAAGAGGATGAAGCAGCAACAAGGGCCATATCTCTATCTGATTGAGCAGCAGGGAGAGCACTGTGTAGCATTGAGAACTTTTTGGAAATAAATCAGACATGGAGTGTCAAAAGATGCAGATGAGTGGAAGAAAAAACACGCTACGCGGTTTTGTTTTGGTAGGCTTGGTAATTTCCTCGAAGGATGTAATTAATTCTTTAGTCAAAAGTGTGCCACTTTATGACTTTCAGTGAAAAAGTGACGCTAATTAACGCGTAGGCGTGCCTGTGGGTGCCATGCAATTTCCAGGAAGGAGGGATTGATGGTCTTCATCGTCAAAAGAGTGCAACTTTATGACTTGGTAGTCAAAAAGATAGGTTGCTATTCTCTAATCTAAAATGTTAAACTAGGGTCAGTTACTGATGAACTTCAGGTTAATTTCTAGTATCCCTGAGTTTAATTCCCCTGCCTTACAACAATAAATCCAAGCTAAGAAGGAATTACTTAGAAAAACATTAATAACTATCGGGAAATATTTGTTGGTTACGCCACATATATTTGATAAGAGTAAGACTTGCTTGAAATTTTTATAATTTTTTAAATTATTTTTGAGATAAGTATTTCATATTTCAATATATTATGTAGGCTCATTTAAAATAGTTTTTTTTACACGAAATTTCTTTTGAAGAAGGTAACAAACTAACAAGAAACATCTGATGGTAAAAAACACAAGCAAAAACAAGAAACATCTCGACCTTTGACATAGAAAAGGAATAAAACGGAGGAAAAATAGACACAGAGAAAGTTAATTTTATATAAGTTGAAAAGATATCTTTCATGTCCTTAAAATAAAAAATAGTATATAAATAGTAGCTAGAACTGAATTATTATAATATAACGAGATATATAGTAAGTATTATATCTTCTTTTCCAAGCGAATGCAAATGGAAAGCTTTGGTGATAATAATAACCATAAGAGACATGTGTCCACAACATCATCATTTAAAAACATTCTTTTTATCAAATGAAAACATACACTTTGAGGATTTGACAAAATCTGTCTATATTTATATTGTCAACTAATAACATATGAAATTATCAATAAAAACAATAGATTTAAGGCCACATAGAATCATATTATTGCATCATTTTGACATACCAAAATATACAAGAATTTCAAAAAGTCTACATTTATATTATCTCTAGTCCTATTTATAAAGAATATTTAAAAAGTTAAAATTTCTTATAAATAATTTGATGCTCATGGATATACAGGCAAAAACTGTCCACTCTATTGAACAGCGTATGATATACAATACTCAGCTAAGAGAATCTCCTGTATCTAAATAAAATTAGACACATATCACTATTGGGATTAAATCTAATGAAAAAAGATCAGTTCTTCACATAAAAGCTAGTCAGAACCTGTTGTTTATCTTTTCCCTTTGAGGCATGTGTATTGTAATCCCCCGTTATCATTATCAACTTGAATGAAAAATCTCAATTTTTTCTAGACATAAATATTTTCTTATTAGAAACAGTCTTATTCAAGATACTGTATGCCATCATCAATGTATACAATAAAACTCTTCCATCATCATCATCAATCAATGTATACAATAAAACTCTTCCACCAAGCCAATTTATAAAACGGCTTACTAATGGCTTCAGACACATATCACTGTTCATAAGCCAATTTGATTAAAATAATATAAATCTTGGGCTTCTATTTGGCTAACTTCATTCAATGCATGTATGTGGCTGTGTGCACGGCTTGGTTTGAGACTTTCAAAATTTAAATTTTAAACCTCCCGCCATAAATGTTTGTCCTGTCAGAGGATTTTCCGGTGCCACTAAGATCAAGAATTAAAAAAAAAAGAAAAAGAAACTTTCGGACTGTTCTTCTATCAGTGCCTTTATGCTTCTTCTTCTTTTCTCTCCTACTGTCTCCGTCCTCCTCACCTCAGATTCAAATCTCTCTGGCCCAGCATTAGAAGGTGATGTAAATTGGTGGCTTGGCACCCCGTAAGTGTGTGGATAGTGTGGGGATATGCCATCCATGGTGGTGCCGAAAAAGCAATGGAATGGCACGGTAAACCAATCTCGCATCTCAGGCATTTTTGTTCCTCTTCAGTTTTTTTTAATTAAAATTTAGTTTTATACCTTTCATTATCAATTCAACTGTTGTTAGTGGTGGCCGGGAACTTTTACCAAATCACTGTTTCAACCTAAAGAAAGCCTCTGATGTTGCTCGGGGGATACACTAGGAGTAGAGTTTCATGGGTTTTACTAAAAGGGAGAGATCAAATCAAATGAAAAGGTGCAGAAAAACAACCCATAGAGTCAAAAATAGTGAGCAAGACATATACCCAGGCAAATAACGCGGCAAAGCCCATTGCTTTCTACTTCACTGAGAAGATGAACGGTGGCCCATCTGTTTTTAGTGCGTACTATCTCTCTCTAACCCAATAATCATTTGGGTGTGCTTATTGGAAGTATTTTCTCTCAGATTCATGAATCAAATACTTAATCGTTTGTGTTTGTTACAGCTAATGCTCCCATCACAAGGACTTTCATTATCACCTTGACGCTTTTCACTATCTTCTTCGAGATCAAAGATCGTTATAACACACTGGGATTGTCTTATCAGGTGATCTTCCCAATTTAATTGATCTATTTTTACTCTCTGAATAAGTATCTGGTGTCAAATAAATTTACTAATATATGTCAATGCAATTGACGATCAAATTGATAGTTTTCATCTTCATTGTATTATATTATTAAACTAGACCGGTCGTTGGGCATTTCAATATGAAAATTACATCTGACTCCTGAGGATGTTTTGTTATTAATCCTTGAATGTGCAGTTTGGTTTATACTTTTATTTCTTTCAAGATGGGTCACTGATACTTTTTTGCGATGGAGGCGAGACTGGAGGGGCTCTCTAGCGGGGAAGAAACGCCGGCGTCAGTGAGTGGCTGGACTGAGTCGGTGGTGTTCATGGAGGAGGAGGAGCCCAAGGAATGGGTTGCTCAAGTAGAGCCTGGCGTGTTTATCACTTTCGTTTCGTTGCCTCAAGGCGGGAATGATCTGAAACGAATACGGTTCAGGTACATTGTCTTGCTGTTTGTTGTCCTAGGCTTAACTTTTTTTTTTTTTTTTTTGAGGCCAACGTCCTATACTTCAAATTAAACTTTATATCATAAACAATCTATCCGTATCAGTTCCCAATTATCATTAACTTGTCCTGATTTTTGAGGAAGTATATCAAAAAGATCTTGATGTTAGTTCTGATAGCAAAATTTTATTAGAATTGACAGCATGATTCAGTATCTCAACCTGTTTGGAAATTTATGGCTAACTTGGCGAGTTTTCACCCGGAAAAAGAAAAAACCAGTTTATTTATTAGCATAAGAAGTTTACCATTTCGAAGCGGAGCTTGTTAGGAGCAGACTTAAAGCTATGGCAAATTACCAAGTCAGCCACTGATATTCCATCTGAGGGCATGTTGGGTTACATAGGCAACTCTGTTAAGTTAATGAAGGATCTATGTGATGTACATCTTAAAATGTTGATTGATATGTTGGTAATTAATTTGAAGTACTAAATTGATGGTAGTGCCTGGTGAAATTTTTTGAGGGAGTGATATTTACTCAACATCTATATTTGCTTATGTTTTGATGTTCTACGTGTCCAATATCTGTGTCTATTGTTTTTCTTGGCTTATCACATGCCTTGGGATCCCTTAGAGGCTGACTAACTTTTAATAAGCAGTGTAACTTTGTCCTTTGTGGTACTTTATCTTGTTGATCTTGCGACTGAGGACAAGTTTGTTTGAGAGTGATGATCGCATGCTTTTAAAGGCTGTTCAGATTCTGCACTAGCAGAAGCTGTCTTGTTTGCATAGTAACTTCTTGGTGTGGCTTTAGCTTTGTTCAATTATCGGTAAGTCATTCTAGAATTATTGTAGTAGAAATGGAAAAAAGCAAAAAGCTTTTTTATCTTGTAGCCGTGGTAATTTAGTCTCTATTCGTCATCATGATTAAAATCATTTATAAGTACATTTTATATAAGTTGAGATAAAATTTCTTTTATATATTTATTTCGTATTCCGCAAATCACGATTGAAAAGTTACCTATAAACCATTTCAAATGGGTTTTTAAACACACTCTTTTCTGCCCACGAAAAGAAAAAGTAAAAAAAAAAAAAGAAAAAGGGGAAGAAAAAGTAACGGAAGCTGTGTGAAAGAAAAAGGAGAGGCGTGGCTATGTACCACAGTAGCACTCGTGCTTTTTTTTTTTTTTTTAACAAATACAGAAATACTTATTATGTTTCAATTACTTGTTTCCATGTCTTGTTATAATTTTTAAAATAAGAACATGATAATTATTTTGCGTGTTCAAAATCATTGTTATATATCTTAATCTCCCTTGAAACCGTAATTTAATACTAATAGATGATGATAAAAGGGATCAAACTAGTTAGGATTCCATGTTGAGTTCTGCACCATATGATAATCAGTTTTTCATTTGATGAGGAAAAGTTGTGGTATCCGAGTAGGTGATACTAATCTTATTTATCACCACCATTTAATTAGTTTCTCCTTTGCTCTGAAAATTTCATATTTTACCGCCATTGTAGCTTCTGTTAGAGGGGATAAAAATCTTGAACGAAGTGAAAAATATGGAGAAAATTCTAGAGAAATTAATGAGAAAAAAAGTGGAAATTAGGGGGGGTGTGGGGATGCGACTAACTCCGCTTACAACTGTTGATTTTATAGTCTTGAAATTATCTTTTGTGTCCTTAAAAAAATAATATAAAAATGATAACTAGAATGAAATTATAATATGATGAGAGATAAAATAAACATTATATATCTCTTTTTTTAAATCAAATGAAAATATAAAGTTTTGCTAATAATAGCCATAAGATACTACTTGCGTCAGCAACATCTTCAATTGAAAACACTGAGAACTTGCAAAATCCAAAGGCCAAGGCTAGACCAATCTCAATTGAGTTGTTTACATCCTAAAGATACAAATATGGTACTTCAAATTATCAACAACACAACCCAATTGCACAAGATTATGTCCATAAAGCATGCTAGTAACTAGCAAATATGCATTAATCTTTTCACACAATTCAAAATACACTTTATAACCAGCAAAAGCTATATTAAATTCTCAACTTCTCCTCATGCTTCTCCTTTCCCTTGTCTGAAACTTCACCTGTAAGAGTTTTACCCCTGAACAAAGCGAGAGGGTGACTAAAGAAGAAGAAGAAGAAAATTAATATTTAGCACCCGCTTTCATGCCTAACCCAATAGACAAACAAATTAAAGGATAAACACTTGTTCTAAATTTATGAAGGAAAGAAAATGTAAAAATAGAAACCTTATAAAGAGACAGAAAAATTGGAAAACATCCAGAGAAATGAGCTTATGTGAGCGAGTTTCAAAAAATATCCTCAAACCCTAAATTATGTTCAATTCCCCCCCCCCCCAAAATTTTAACGCCATTAACAATGTTGATCGATGCCGGTTGTAACACGATGCGTTGACCTATGCTAGCTAAGATATTTAATTATATAATAATTATTTTTTAACAAAAAAGACTTATTTCTTCTTATTCTTTCAGCTTCCAAATTCCTTCAATAATACCAATGAACCACTTTAACTGGTCTCCCTTAATTAAACTAATCTACAAATTTTAGGAATCTTACACTGAAGCCTAGTTTAATTAGAATTAGATTGTTCAAGTATAAAAAATAGCTTAGCGTACAAAAGACAATCTTCCTTGCTTTATTAGTTTTTTTTTTCTTTCGAAAAAAGAGATTTTCAAATCCTTCTTAATATAATTTAGTCTTCTCTTCTTCCATATAGTTGAAGTTCAATTGAATTTGTCCCCTCCCCCCCCCCTTTTTTTATCATGTTTTATAGTCTGGCCCACACTGTTTCATGCCAAGCGCAAGAAATGGTCAAGACTCAAGAATAAACACCCTTAATTCATGAGGAAAATGCAGAAATAGAAGCTTAATAGAGAGATAAAACAATCATACAGAGAGAGAGAGAGAGAGAGAGAGAGCTTACTTGGCAAAAGAATAAAGAAGGGAGTTCAGGTTATATCCACTCTCAAAGGAGGGTATCCATTTCATCAATAGGAGGACATGTGTTAGCATGAGTACCCTCATCAAACTTCATCTTTGCCAGGGATTATTAACCCATGAGTTATTTTAGAGAATTCAAAGCAAAGCTTCATGTTAGTGAACAACTGTTGATTTCTTCATATAATTTCATGGATTTGGATCCTCTCAGAATCTTTCTTTCTCCTTTTCTTCTCAGAATCTCATCTCTACCATTGGATCAAATAATGAATGGTTCAGATTTCATACTTTATAAAACTATTATCATAACATTACATAAATAGGAGAGAGAAGGTGGACATCTGTTTTTTAAAATATTAAATCTGAACCATTCATTATTTGATCCAATGGTAGAGATGAGATTCTGAGAAGAAAATGAGAAAGAAGGATTCTGAGAGGATCCAAACCCTAATTTCACCCATTATCCCTTCATATGCCAAGGCAGCATTCCATATCGAAATATGATCGGATTTCATATCTCAAAAATTCACTTCAAGTTTTGAATGTGCCGCATCAAAACCTTCCAAGTAGCATGTGCATTTCAAATAAATCTTAAAACAATTTTCTGAGTGACCACCAAGTACAACGCAGAAGAAGAAATCTGCTAAGTCTGAAATTCGAGAGAGTTCAACAATCACGAAGTTGTGCGCTGACCTGTATTTGAACCACTCTGGTACTCTGGTAATTCTTTTTTTGATGCAATAAAAAATAAGGTATAGAATAGGGAGCAGCCTCCATGATATTGGGAAGCGATTGTTCATTCAGTTGCACACAATTCTTGAATGAGAAGTATACTGGGTGACCACCTGATGGTCTACAAGTTGAAACAATTTCCAACGACTTGCAATCACTGGCATTGCGGATCCGGATCCTCTCAGCGGCCATTTTCTCAGCGTCCCTCAGAATCTTTAAATCCTATCCATCCAATTCATCTAAGAGCTCACAAAAAGCCACATCACGAAGCTTCTGTAATCGTGGCTCGGCCATCACGTCCTATTTGCCAAATCCATTCCACGGCCGACTTGTTGAAGTCAAACTCCTTCGGTGACCTAAACAGGGATTTCCGACGCAGATGGGAAGCTCTGTCATTACCTAATCTACCTTACACCTCTTCCTCTCTATCTCCGCCCTTCTTCTCTATCCCTCTCTTCCTCATTCTTTGACTGTTGAGTGCTTATAGTCAGGCAATATCCATAGAATTCTTGTGAGGTGCCATCTCGGTGTTGCTACTGCTAAACTTGAACAGGGGGATCAAAGCAAAGAGAAGCTCAAACGAAAGTATCATCTGCAAAACCATTTTTGTTATTATTAGTGGGCTTTGGGTTTTTTCAATGGAAAAATAAAAAATTATCCATATTGAAAAAATTGGCTGAATGCTTTCTAAGTATATGAACGAGATTCGGTGTCTTTAGAGAGAGAATTTTTCCAACCTCTGGACAGGAGTTTGTCATTGGTTTTCTGCTTGATCTAGTGCAAAGTTTATCCTAAATTCATCTTCGTCTTTTGTTATGATCAATCTCTTCGTTCTACTTTAGTAATTTATTTCTCTATTGCTCATTGATTGGACTTCTAGTTTCATCCGGTTCTGTTTTCTTTTCTGTTCAAACTAAAATCCATTCCTATAATGGAGATAAAATCCATTCCTATAATAGAGATTTTTTTTTGACATTGGCTATTGAAAAGAAATCAAAGGTTATCATGTTTTATGGATAAAAGAAACAGTTTTTATCTGAATGTGTTTGCATTTGAGGCTCTGTTCGACTCTTAGCTACAGTTTGCAGGAGGTCGACGCTCTCTTCGCATTTGATGCGCTCTGAACATGCTGTGAAGATCCTGAAAATGGACGCCTGAGATTTATTGGAAATAAATGGTTCAGATGCATATTATAATAGTCTAATGATGTGGCAAACCATGAGCCATATGATTATCTTAACGGACAGGATTTAAAGATTCTGAGGGACGCTGAGAAAATGGCCGCTGAGGGGATCCGTATCCCTGGCATTGCAGGTTTGCAATGGATGGTGGTAGTTCTGGTAAAGAACGAAGCCTCCTACAACCCCTTACGCTAAGAGATTTCAATCCTAAAAGGCTTTTAGCATGACTGGGGAGTTCAATTAAATTCCAACAATCAATCAGCTCCACTGTTCTTAAAGACAACATGCAATCAAATAAGATTTGTAGCTTTAAATCATCAATGATTCCCCACTCGTAAAGGGAAAGAATCATCAAATTTGTCAAGCAAGATAATTGGTTGGGAAGGTTCACAAGCCTTGAGCCACTGAGACCAAGCTCTTCAATTTACTTGAACGCCCTACAAACGAGTGCAAGATTTCAACTCCTGTGTTGCCTAAATCCAATCCTCTCAGTTCATCCGATGACGCTGAGAACTCCTAGAGATTCCAACAATTTATCACATTGATTGTGGAGATCTTAAATGTAACTCACCTTTTAGACTCCTAAGTTTCACACACCCAAATAAGTTCAACTCAACAAGCGAGTGGAGAGACAAGATTGAGGAATGAACATAGCACGAACCTTTGCATAGCCTAAGTGCTACCACTTTGAGATTCAAGCATTTGGAAAGATTTGGCAGCTCTAGTAGTTTTTTGGAACCACTAAGGTCTATCTCTTGTAAACTCACAATCCTATACCAATAGCAATAGACAGTTCAAATGAGATCGTCAAGAATTAGAAGAAACATCTAACCCTTGGACATGCAAATGGAATAGAATTAGAAGACACACATACGTTGAAAATACATCTCCCATGTTCTTAAAGTAAAAAATAGTATAAAAATAATCCCTAGAATTAAATTATTATAACATAACCAGATATATAGTAAGTATTATATACCTTTTTTCAATCAAATGAAAATAGGAATTTTTATTATTAATAATAACCATAAGATAATGTCCACAACAGCTTCATTTGGAAACATTCTTTTTATCAAATGAAAACATGCACTCTGAGTGTACGTGTGGGCCAAAAAATTGTACGTAGTACCAAATCGCAAATCCCTTGTACTAGACATTTATAGATAAGCAAAAACGGCCCACTCTATGACACAACATATAATATACTTCCTCTTATCCTCGATATAAAAATTAGTTAATTAATTAGAGTACATTAGAAAAGTTTGTTGAATCAGTTATTTATAATAAATACGTGTTATCTTTTTTAAAATATCATTGCTAATCATGTATTCCTCTGGTCGACTTTTTTTGTATTGTAAATTACACTACAAAAAAGATTTTATATTTAGGACCGGAGGGAGTATTACCGAAATCTACCATTTAATTGAACATTTAACATGCGTAACTATTATAAGGATTACTTTGAAAAAAAATAGATAAATATGAAAGACAAAATAGATTAAAATCTTATATTTAGAAGTAAATTAGAAGTTAAATTAATTTTTACATTAATGAATGGAGTTAGTATAATACTCCCTCCGTTCCTTATTATAAGAGACAAATAACCGAAGTACGTTGATCAAAAAAACAGTTAAAATTAGTTCAGAACAATTAATATGTAAAAAGTATAATTTTTTTCCAAAAATGTCCACATTAATAAGGAGAGAGAACAATTAAATTATTAAAAGAAAGAGAAGTGAGAAGGAGAGAGAGTGTGAGTTGGAGATAATATATATGGGTAAGATAGTAAATCAACACAAAAAAGTAGAGACAACTTGTAAGTGTCTCTTATATATAGGAACATGTCATAGGCATCAAATGTCTCTTATAATAAGGAACGGAGGGAGTAATATTTTCAAATAATTCAAAATATACTTTATAACTAGCAAAAGCAATATTCAATTCTCCTGGTGCTCTTCTTTTCTCCCTTATTCGAGACTCCACCGGTGAAAAGATGATCCCTCAATAAAGGAACAATGATGCAACATGATGATGCAAGCAGAGGAGACTCGGGAATGGTTACGGAAATAGAGATAAGAGGACGAGATAATGAGAAACAGATTATATTATACTTTTCTGAACTTATTTATAAGTTACTTTCAGTATATTTTACATAGATCAAGAAAAGCCTTAAATTTCATTAACTGTCATTTAAAATTTAACAATTTTCTAACTTTATCTCTATTTAATATACATTATATATCATATAAATAAAGTCAACATAATAATAAATAAAGGGTAAAATTGTACATCCATATAACAAATTTCTCTTAGTGTCTTATAAATAGGACCAAAAAACACATTCTCTGTCTATCCTATAAATAGGACTAGAGAAATATATCAATTTATAAGTGAGAAAAATTAGTGAGAAGAAAAACAATAAATATAAATATTTTAAAGTAATTTAATAATTTTCTTAATCTTTTTAAATTAGCCAATTTAATTTTCTATTAAGAGTCAAAGGTAGTACTTTTTTGGTTGGACAAAATGGCGGCTGCAAAACTCTTCTTAAGCTGTCAGGGGTAAACCTCGTTGGCATGCTTCTGAATCCCAACAACACAAATACAACCAGACTTTTGTTCCAACAAAATTTCCTATTAAAACTAGGCGGTCAAATACAAGCCTCAACGGTGAATTCAAAACACTCTCTTTGACAAATGAAAACACCCTGGGAACTTGACAAAATCCGAAGACAAATTCTCGAACATCCTCAATTGAGTTGTTTGAATCCTTAAGATACCTGTGTAAAATCAGAAAAATGTGGTACTTCAAATTATCAATAAAACAACCCAACCACACAAGATTATGTCCATAAAGCATGCTAGTACCAGCACATATACAATGCTCTTTTCACACAATTCAAAATACTCTTAATAACCAGCAAAAGATAAACACTTGCTCTTAATTTATGAGAAAAATAGAATGCAAAAATAGAAACCTGGTAAAGAGACACAACAATCGGAAAACATCCGGAGAAGTGAGCCTATGCATGCAAGCTTCAAAAAATATCCTCAAACCCTAAATTATGTTCAATTTTCTTCCCCTAATTTTAACGCCACTGACAATGTTAACCGATACTTGTTGTAAGACAGTGCTTTAACCAATGCTAGCTAAGCTATTTAATTAGATACTTTATTTTTAACCTATTTCTCCTTATTTCCTCTTCTTTCATCTTTTAAATTCCTTCAAAAATACCTATGAACCACGTTAACTAGTCTCCCTCAATTAAACTTATCTCCGAATTTCAGGAATCTTATATGAAAGCCTAGTTTAATTAGAATTAGATTGTTCAAGTACAGACAAATAGCTTAGTGTATAAAAGAGAATCTCACTTGCTTTATTTGTTTTTTTTTTCAAAATAGATTTTCAAATCCTTCTTTATATAAACACCGTTCACGAGGCAAATGCAAAAATAAAAGGCTAATAGAGAGATAAAACAATCAGAGAGAGAGAGAGAGAGAGAGAGATTACTTGCCTAAAGAATAAAGAAGGGACTCAAGGGAGTTCAGATTATATCCACTCTCTTAAGTGTTGGCATACCCTCGTCAAACTCGATTTTTTTCAAGTGAGGCGGTGGTTGTTGCTCTTCAACATCGTGAGGACTCTTCCTTATTTCCACTTCCTCAACAAATTTCTGACATTCTGAGACAGATACTGGCCTCACCCCGCATTCTTCGATGCTTTCGCAAAAAATCATTGGCTGCTCACCCCAAGGAGGTATAGGAGAGAATTCAAAGCGAAGCTTTATGTTAGTGAACACCTGTTGATTTCTTCTTCTAATTTCATCCATTATCACTCTATATGCCGTGTCATCATTCCATATAAAAACATGATCAGAGTTCATATCTTGTAAAAACACTACATGTTCTGAAACTGCCGCATCAAAACCTTCCAAGTAGCATGTGCACGTCAAATAGTGAAATTGACAATTAATTTCTGAGTGAACATGAAGTACAACGCAGAACAAGAAATCCCTTACGTCTGAAATTTGAGAGAGTTCAACAGTTACGGAGCTTTGTGCTGCCCTGTATTTGATCCACTCTGGTACTCTGCTTCCGGGAACACAAATCTGACAAGGACCTATGCAGCTCTTATTTTTACGCACTAAATAATGAGTCACATAATGATGAGTCACATAGTAGGCAGCAGCCTCCATGATATTGTGAAGCGATTGTTCATTCAGTTGCACACAGTTATTGAATGAGAAGTACATTCGACAACCACTTGGTCTACAAGTTGACACAATTTCCAGCGACTTGCAATCATCGGCAACTATGGCTGCAATGGATGGTGGTAGTTCTGGTAAAGAACGAAGCCTCCTACAACCGTTTACGCCAAGATATTCCAATTCTAAGAGATGCTTAGTATTACTGGGGAGGTCAATTATGTTACCGCACCCATCCAGTGCCACTGTTCTTAAAGACGACATGCCATCGAAAAAGATATGTAGCTTCAAATCATCAATGATTTCACAGTTGAAAAGGCAAAGAGTCGTCAAACTTGTCAAGCAAGATAATCGGTCGGGAAGGTTCACAGGGCCATCAAGAGTGATCGCTTTCAATTTACTTGAACGCGCTACAGATGAGTGCAAGATTTCAATTCCTGTATCTCGTAATTCCAATTCTCTCAGTTCATCCGATGACACTGAGAACTCCTTGAGATTCGAGCACCACCTCAGATGGATATCTCGCAGAGATCTGAAATGTGACTCACTTTTTAGACTCTCAAGTTTCTCGCAGTAACTTAAGTTCAACTTAACAAGCGAGTGGAGAGACCAGATTGAGTAATGAACAGAGCACAAACTTTTGCATTGCGCAAGTTGTAACACTTTGAGATTCGAGCATTGGGAGAGATCGGGCAGCTCCAGTAGTTGTTTCGAACCACAAAGGTCTATCTCTTGTAAGCTCACAAAATCCTATACCAACAAAGAGAGACAGTTCAAATGAGGACATCAAGACGTTTCAACTGAATGAAAAACATGAAGCACAAATAAGGTTATATATACTTGCACTCCGCTCCAAAGCTTTTGAAGATGGCTATTGCGCATGCAGAGCTTAACAAGCTTTTCAGGGCAAAAAGTGGAGGGCAGAGATTTAAGTGGGAATCCATACCACTCTAGATACCTCAACTTATTAGGAAGAAATTTGAGACCTTCTGGAAGGTGCACATGACTTGAGGGAGTGGGGAAAGGAGGATAACGATTAGAATAAAATTTGAGATATCTTATATTAGGCATCTTCTTGAAAATGTCAGCTTCCAAATGTAGATCTTTAATTTGAGAAAGATCCAACTTTATGCCTTCAACTTTGCTTGTTCCCTTATAAAAAAAAAAAAAAACAAAGAAACCATATTAAATAAATCACATCATATTACATTCATATCACATCATTCATAAAGTTACGTATGATATAAAAAAGGGATTTGTTACCATATTGTTAGCTAAAACATCGTAAATTTCTTCAGAACCACATAATCGGCTACATCTCTCTGGTTCACCATTAGATTCTTCACGAACTATTTGCAACCCCATTTCATGTATCAAATCATGCATTTGTACAATACCATAATGCACATTTATGAGAGCCTTGTCATGAAGTGTTCTTATGCCGTCAGCTCCATGAAAGTCGGAGCTATCTAATAAACTGATTACAAGTTCTGTCGATTCTCCCTTCAAAAAGCACATGATGTCTAGAAATATTTTCTTCTCCTCATCATCCAGTTCATCATAACTCAACCTTAACACCTTTTGGATATCTTTATGAGGAGTCTTCTCAAGTTTTCTCAAAGCACTATCCCATTCAACTTCACTTCTTCTATGAAGATGTAAACCCAGAACTTTTAAGGCCAATGGAATTCCTTGTGCATAAAAAACTGCCCTGTCTGTTAGTTCTTCATATCCCGTTAAAGGCTGGCTAGCGTCGAAGGCATTCAAGCAGAAAAGTTTAAGGGATTGATCAAAGTCCAATTCCTTAACCTCATATATTGCATCAACTCCTTTGCTAAGAACATGCTTGTCTCTGGTTGTGATGAGAATTTTACTTCCTTTCCCAAAGCAAAAGCGTCCTACAACCAAATATTCCAATTGCTCCACACTGCTGATATCATCAAGAACAATGAAAACTTTCATACGACTAAGCCTAGACTCAAGAAAAGAGGTTGAAGCATCAATAAAGAGATCTTCCTTTAGGAGACAAGAGAGAAATTTGCGTCGTAATTCATCAATTCCATTTTGAGACTTTTCCCTTACATTTTCCAAGAAGCAAGTACCGTCATAATGGGAAGAATGTTTGAAAAATATAGTTTTGGCAATGGTTGACTTGCCGATGCCCCCCAAGCCCCATATTCCAATGGTTTTGGCATCTTCGGCATCTTTCAACAATAATTCAATCTCTGCGCAGTTGTCCTCAATGCCTATGAGTCCTTTTAGTTCAGCTGGTAGTTCAGCTGGGGGGTACTTGTGATTCAGCTTCTGCAATATGTCTTTGACAATCTTTTGAATCAATTCAGATTCATCCCTGACATAAGAAAAATAAAAGGCAAAAAAGGAAAAGCGCAATTAAGCAGAAAAAATTGATTTATTAAGGACAAATGATAAATGATGAGTGATAAATAAACAGAGAATAAATTGTATAGAGTGTATAAATATAAATGATAAATGATAAAGACCCAAAAATGTGTACCAAAAATTGAATAGAATGTCTTAATCATTTGATCCATCACGTAAATCTCTGCAAATGCCATCATTTGTGAATAGAAGAAAATTAATGAATTACCTAAATGTGCGAGAGTCATAACCAGCTAAGTTTGCAGTTTCATTAAGAGCTTGCTTCCACATTTGCATCTTGTCCTGGTCAACGTTGAGATCTCTCTCATATCTCTCAAATGCTTGCTGGTAAAGGCCAGTCTGATTGCGTACGTGAGATGGGTCGACTTTATAGAAGACAGGAATAACAATCTGCTCATGATCTCTTTTGCAATTGACTATATGGGTGAGTTCAGCCAAGCACCATCTTGAAGCAGCATAATTTTTAGAGAACACCACCACTGATACATATGAATCCTCGATAGCTTGCAGAAGTGATGCTGAGATCTCATCTCCTTTCACGAGTTGGCAGTCTATGTAGGTTATGATACCTGTTCTGTTGAAAGCATCATAAAGATGGCTAGTGAAGCCGAAGCGAGTGTCCTCACCCCTAAAGCTGATGAAAACACCATACTTCTTGGGGAGGGATTGAGCAGAGGAAGAGGATGAAGCAGCAACAGGGGCCATATCTCTATCTGATTGAGCAGCAGGGTGAGCACTGTGTAGCATTGAGACCTTTTTGGAAATAAATCAGAGAAGGAGTATCAGAAGATGCAAATGAGTGGAAGAAAAAACAGGCTACATGGCTTTGTTTTGGTAGGCTTGGTAATTTCCTTGAAGGATGTAATTAATTCTTTAGTCAAAAGGATGCCACTTTATGACTTTCAGTCAAAAAGTGACGCTAATTAACGTGTAGGCGTGTCTGTGGGTGCCATGCAATTTCCAGGAAGGAGGGATTGATGGTCTTCATCGTCAAAAGAGTGCAACTTTATGACTCGGTAGTAAAAAAGATAGGTTGTTATTCTCTAATCTAAAATGTTAAACTAGGGTCAGTTACTGATGAACTTCAGGTTAATTTCTAGTATCCCTGAGTTTAATTCCCCTGCCTTACAACAATAAATCCAAGCTAAGAAGGAATTACTTAGAAAAACATTAATAACTATCGGGAAATATTTGTTGGTTACGCCACATATATTAGATAAGAGTAAGACTGGCTTGAAATTTTTATAATTTTTTAAATTATTTTTGAGATAAGTATTTCATATTTCAATATATTATGTAGGCTCATTTAAAATAGTTCTTTTTACACGAAATTTCTTTTGAAGAAGGTAACAAACTAACAAGAAACATCCGATGGTAATAAACACAAGCAAAAACAAGAAACATCTCAACCTTTGACGTACAAAAGGAATAAAACGGAGGAAAAATAGACAGAGAGAAAGTTAATTTTATATAAGTTGCAAAGATATCTTTCATGTCCTTAAAATAAAAAATAGTATATAAATAGTAACTAGAACTGAATTATTATAATATAACGAGATATATAGTAAGTATTATATCTTTTTTTCCAAGCGAATGCAAATAGAAAGCTTTGCTAATAATAATAACCATAAGATAAATGTGTCCACAACATCATCATTTAAAAACATTCTTTTTATCAAATGAAAACATACACTTTGAGGATTTGACAAAATCTGTCCATATTTATATTATCAACTAATAACATATGAAATTATCAATAAAAACAATAGATTTAAGGCCATATAGAATCATATTACTGCATCATTTTGACACCCCAAAATATACAAGAACTTCAAAAAGTCTACATTTATATTATCTCTAGTCCTATTTATAAAGAACATTTAAAAAGTTAAAATTTCTTATAAATAATTTGATGCGCATGGATATACAGGCAAAAACTGTCCACTCTATTGCACAGCGTATGATATACAATATTCAACTCGGAGAATCTCCTGTATCTAAATAAAATTAGATGCATGTCACTATTGGGATTAAATCTCATGAAAAAAGATCAGTTCTTCACATAAAAGCCAGTCAAAACCCGTTGCTTATCTTTTCCTTTTGAGGCATGTGTATTGTAATCCCCCGTTATCATCATCAACTTGATTTTGAATGAAAAATCTCAATTTTTTCTAGACACAAATATCTTCTTATTAGAAACAGTCCTATTCAAGATACTGTCAGGCATTAGATATAAATGCTTCTCTGAACATGGATTATACTAATGGTCTCAATTCCAGTATATAAGCGCAGCCGACGTTAAAGGCCGGAAAGGATGATGTGGGCCTTTTGGGTCTGGCCCATTGATATAATGATACCGCATCACTTAGGGTATGTTTGGCTCAATGAGAGGAAGGGGAGGGGAGGGATTTTAATGGAGGGAAGGGGAGGGGAGGGGAGTGGAAGGATTTTAATATCACCTTGTTTGGATTTATAAAAAAAGAGGGGAGGGGAGGGAAAAATATTTTAATATGAACAATTTTGCTCTTATTTTATTTAAGGCATGGGCATAATTGTCACAACATGACAAAATATAGACATAATGATTACAACATGACAAAATATAGGCATAATAGTCATAATATGACAAAATATTGTCTTTTCCCTCCAAATCCTCCCAATTTTGGAGGGGAGGTTGAGGAGGGGAGGGGAGGGGAAATTTTAAAAAATTTTCCCTCCCCTCCTAAAATTTGTGTGTTGCCAAACAAGGGGAAATGATTAAAATCCCTCCCCTTCCCTCCCCTCCCTCCCAAATCCCTCATACCAAACACACCCTTACGGAAGAGCTCACGACTTGCCTCTGACACATTAACTTTTTTGGGGGGGGGGCACTTCAACGATTAATCTATTGATAAGACTTGGAAGAACAATAATGAAGTATGTGCTGAAACCTCAGGTCTAAATCTAAATCCATTTTCGTGGCTAAAATAAAATCTCTGGAAACAAACTAATGCAAGGCCCATCCTTGACAAGTATGAGTTAAAATGAGAGTATTTATATTAATACAAAGTTGAACTGAAAAATATGCAAATGCATGAAAACCAAAACACACACGCATATGCTGATTTGAAAGTTTAGCTAAACTGGAGAGTTTGACTATTCAGTGGAGCTTTTTACAATGTGTTTCGTCAGACCTGAATTGCATAATTTAGTTATCATTTCAAATCATTTAGACCTAACATTTGAGTCGGGAACCAAAATTTAACCATAAACAAGCAGTTTTTGTGTAATTGGAGGAATATGAAGTCAACTCATTTAACAGTATTTTTACCCTAAAAATCCTATTTTGCTCATCCTTATCCATGAACAAAACCATCCTTCTTGTTGAATATGAAGTCAGCTCATTTAACAATATTAATCATTTACCTCTCTAGGATCATCAGTTAATGAAGTCTCATTCCTTGTTGAATCATGAGCAGAAATCATTGAAGCTCCCAATTAAAGTACTATCATCATTCTTTTACTCTCACATCAACGTGCATTCACATGCTCTTCCTATATATATATAAATATATATATTATGTATGTAATTTTAACGTAAATTATCCTCGAAACTTACATATACATAACATAAAGCAATCACACATCTTTCCATCCCTTTTTGGTTCGAGGCATTTGCCTTATGGTCCACTGCTATCATTATCCATCAATTTATTCATCCTCACTCATACCCAAATTAATTTAACTTATTATCATTATTAATTAATCTCTCTTCTATGCTAACTTAATTATTCAATTGCTTAAATTAAACTTTAATAATAATTGACAACATTTGAAAAACAAATGATATTGTATTTTTGCAGTATTTGAAATTTTGAAATGTTAGATGTGTATAATTTCACCCTATCATATTGGAAAAACCAACCCTTAGTCGTCCAGTTCAAACATTTTTTTTAATTTTATAATTGTTAACACAAAATAACATCATTGTAGGATAGTTTTTTCTTTAAATATTATGCAGTATAATCGTTATCCTGACACATTATTATTAACAATTATATGTTTGCTTAATAAATATTATGGCGATATATTTATAGTTAATTAATTTGAATTCAATACTCATTAAGATTGAATATTAGTATATTTATATTTAAATGTTAAATTGTCGGAACTTCTAGCCAAACAAACACCATACACATGCCTTATAGAAAAAATATTTAAACATCATGTTATAATACTTATTAGTAGCAATTTTTTTAAAAATAAAATTTTTGACATTGTTGTTTTATGCTTCAGTTTTAACTCCTTTGATTAGTATATTTTAATATTTCATAGATCATATTAGTCTTTCCCTCATCAGCATCTCTCGCTTTGGTTTGCTGGTTTCAACTTCAATGGCATAGTGCGTTGGTTCAGAGCAGCCACGGAGTTTTCTCGATTCGATAAAGTTGACCCAGATCTTCAATTTGGTTGGCTCTGCTAAAGTGTTTTCCTTTTTTGACTGGGAGCTGGCTTCGTGGCAACCCATTAATCATCATTTTGATATCTGAAGGGTGATATCAACATCTTTTTCTAGAGAGGAGATCAGAAATGTTGACCTGCATTGCGTGTTCCAAGCAGCTTAATGACAAGAGATCTCTTTCCCAACAAGATGAGCACGAAGAAGCTGTGGATACACCCAGCACCAAGCAGGCCATTAAGGCCCTCACAGCGCAGGTAATTCTCTTAAGTGGTCCGAAAATTTCAACCCTTGAATCATGTAATTCTTCGTTTTTTTAATTTTTCTTGAAGCTCTTAATGGCACCCGAAAGACACACTTTCGGAGCTAGTGGTTTCTGTTCCATTCTCTAGTTCTTGAAATTTCAATCTAGTGCTGAACCCAATATATATTTTTGTTGGCGATTTTATACAAATTTGATGTTTAGATCAAGGACATGGCGGTGAAGGCTTCTGGGGCATATAGAAATTGCAAGCCTCGTTCAGGATCTTCAAATGGTAACAGGAACCATAACTATGCTGATTCTGATATGGCTTCAGAATCAGCGAGATTTCACCGGGCGTACAACTCAACCCGAAGGCTCTGGGGAAAGGAGATGGAGGCGAGACTGAAGGGGCTCTCTAGCGGGGAAGGAACGCCGGCGTCGGTGAGTGGCCGGACTGAGTCGGTGGTGTTCATGGAGGAGGATGAGCCCAAGGAATGGGTTGCTCAAGTAGAGCCTGGGGTGCTTATCACTTTCGTTTCGTTGCCTCAAGGCTCAAGGTGGGAATGATCTGAAACGAATACGGTTCAGGTACATTCTCTTGCTGCTTGTTGTCCTATGCTTCAATTTTTTTTTTTTTTGCCCAACGTCCTATGCTTTAAATTAAACTTTATATGACAAACTATCCGTATCAGCTCCCAGTTGTCATTAACTTGTCCTGATTTTTGAGGAAGCATATCAAAAAGATCTTGATGTTAGTTCTGATGGCAAAATTTTATTAGAATTGACACCATGATTCAGTCTCTCAACCTGTTTGGAAATTTATGGCTAACTTGGCGAGTCTTCACCCGCAAAAAGAAAAAACCAGTTTATTTATTTAGCATAAGAAGTTTACCATTTCGAGTCAGAGCTTGTTAGGAGCAGACTTAAAAAGCTATGGAGAATTACCAAGTCAGTCAATGATATTCCATCTGAGGGCATGTTGGGTTACATAGGCAACTCTGTTAAGTTAATGAATGATCTATTTGATGTACGTCTTAAAATGTTGATTGATATGTTGGTAATTAATTTGAAGTACTCAATTGATGGTAGTGCTTGGTGAAATTTTTTGAGGGAGTGATATTTACTCAGGATCTATATTTGCTTATGTTTTGATGTTCTACGTGTCCAATATCTGTGTCTGTAGTGTTTTTATTGGCTTATCACATGCCTTGGGATCCCTTAGAGGCTGACTAACTTTTAATAGGTAGTGTAACTTTGTCCTTTGTGGTACTTTAAACTTTATCTTGTTGATCTTGCGATTGAGGACAAGTTTGTTTGAGAGTGATGATCACATGCTTTTAAGGGCTGTTCAGATTCTGCACCAGCAGAAGCTGTCTTGTTTGCATTAGTAACTTCTTGGCGTGGCTTTAGCTTTTTTCAATTATCAGTAAGTCATTCTGGAATTACTGTAGTAGAAACGGGAAAAAGCAACAAGCTTTGTTATCTTCTAGCCGCGGTGATTTAAACTCACTCTTTTCTGCCCACGAAAAGAAAAAGTAAAAAAGGAAAGAAAGAGGACAAGAAAAACTAAAGGAAGCTATGCAAAAGGGGAAAAGAGAGGGAGGCCTGCTTGGTTTTGTACCACAGTAGCACTCATGGCTTCTTTTTCTTTTTGTTTTTTTTTAACAAATTATGTTTCAATTACTTGTTTCCATGTCTTGTTATAATTTTTAAAATATGAACATGATAATTATTTTGCGTATTCAAAATCATTGTTATATATTTTTATCTCCCTTGAAACCTTAATTTAATACCAGTGGATGATGATAAAAGATATCAAACTAGTTAGGATTCCATGTTGAGTTCTGCACCATATGATAATCAGTTATTCATTTGTTGAGGAAAAGTTGTAGTATCCGGGTAGGTGATACTGATCTTATTATCACCATTTTTTAATTAGTTTCTCCTTTGCTCTGAAAATTTCCTATTTTACCGCCATTGTGGCTTCTGTTAGAGCGGATAAAAACCTAGGACGAAGAGAAAAATATGGAGAAAATTCTAGAGAAATTAATGAGGAAAAAAAAAATGTGGAAATTAGGGGGGTGGGGGGATGCGACTGAACTCACAGCTTACAACTGTTGATTTTATAGTCTTGGAATTACCTCGTGCCCTGAGAAATAATATAAAAATGATAGCTAGAATGAAATTATAGTATGATGAGTGATAAAATAAACTATATATCTCCTTTTTTATCAAATGAAAATAGAAAGTTTTGCTAATAATAGCCATAGGATACTACTTATGTCAGCAACATCTTCAATTGAAACTCTTTTTATCGAATGAAAACACAGAGAACTGCCAAGATGCGAAGACCAAATCTACAGCATCCTCAGTTGAGCTGTTTACATCCTAAAGATACAAATATGGTACTTCAAATTATCAACAAAACAACCCAATTATACAAGATTATGTCCATAAAGCATGCTAGTAACTAGCCAATATGCATTACTCTTTTCACACAATTCAAAATACACTTTATAACCAGCAAAAACTATATTAAATTCTCAATTTCTCCTCATGCTTCTCCTTTCCCTTGTCTGAAACTTCACCTGTGAGAGTGTGACACAAGAAGAAGAAGATTAATATTCTCAATTATAATGATAACCTGCTAATCACTCCATTAAAAATTGCTGGAGATCCTGAATCATATACCACGGGACACAAATCCAGCAAACAAGAGAGTTGGATGGAGTATTAAAAGTTGCAAAAGAACAATGTTAAGGGGGCTTTACGACTGACTATTTTGATTCCTACATTGCAATTTGCATGTAATTGTTATGATAATTGTAGTGCATAAATAGTATAAATGTATTTCCCTTTTTCTTTAATCAGAATCTACAATTGAAGACAATCTGTTTTTACAGAATCAAGAATCACCTCCGTCAAGAGAAAGAAACAAAGAAAAATAAAATTGGCCGAATGAATTTTAACATCAAAACTTGCAAATCTTTAAGAGGAATCTAAACAAAGTGCTTCTAGGAATGAGATTCTTGATGCAGAATAAGTTCAATTTTCCTAATATCAGGTAAATAAAATAGTGCCAATAGCATTGTAACCCAAAAATATGAATGTTTTCCTGCAAGTAGGAGGTTGTGTATTCGGTTTGTTGTAATTTCAAACCATTTAGCGCATGCTTTCATGCCTAACTCAATAGACAAACAAATTAAAGGCAAAACACTTGTTTTTTTATTTATGGAGAAAATAAAATGTAAAATTAGAAACCTGAGGATAAAGCGACAGAATAATTAGTAAACATCTGGAAATGTGAGTTTATGTGAGTAAGCTTCAAAAAATATCCTCAAACCCAATTTCTCCCCCTAATTTTAACGCCTTGACGATGTTGACCTACACCGGTCATAACGCAGTGCTTTGACCTATGCTGGCTAAGATATTTAATTACATAATAATTTATTTTTAACCTATTTTTCCTTATTTCTTCTTCTTCTTCTTCTTTCATCTTCCAAATTCGTCCAAAAATACCAATGAACCGCTTTAACTAGGAATCTTACACTAAAGCCTAGTTTAATTAGAATTAAATTGTTCAAGTATGAAAAATAGCCTAGCGACTTAGCGAATAAAAGACAGTCTTACTTTACTTGCTTTATTAGTTCTTTTTCCTTTTCAAAATAGATTTTCAAATCCTTCTTTATATAACTTAGTCTTCACTTCTGCCATCTAACCAAAGTTCAATCGAATTTGTCCTTTTTTTCCTTTTGTTATCATGTTTCATAGTCCGGCCCACACCGTTTCCTGCCAAGCTCAAGAAATGGTCAAGAATATTCATGAGGAAAACGCAGAAATTGAAGCCTAATAGAGAGAAAAAACAATCATACACAGAGAGAGAAAGATAGAGAGCTTACTTGCCTAAAGAATAAAGAAGGGAGTTCAAGTTATATCCACTCTCAAAGGAGAGTATCCATTTTTTTTAACCGAAGTGGTGGTTGTTGCTCTTCAACATCGCGGGGCCTCTTCCTTTTCCTCTCCATTTCCATTTCCTCAACAAATTTCGGACATTCTGAGACAGATACTGGCCACACCCCGCATTCTTTGATCGTTGGCTTGCTTGTTTTTCTTTCTCCATTGATAATAGCCTCATGAGTTACTATAGAAAATTCAAAGTGAAGCTTCATGTTAGCGAACAACTGTTGATTTCTTCTTCTAATTTCATCCATTATCTCTTCATATGTGAAGGAATCATCCCATATAAAAACGTGATCAGATTTCGAATCTCCAAAAAACTCTTCCCATACTGAATACTTCACATCAAAACCTTCCAAGTAGCATGAGCATTTCAAACCGTGAGATTCCCAGTTACTTTCTGAGTCAGCATCAACTACAATGCAGAAGAAGAAAAGCAATGAGTCTGAAAGTGGAGGGAGTTCAACAATTACGGAGCTTTGCGCTGCCCTGTATTTGATCCACTCTGGTACTCTGCTTCCGGGAACACTAATCCAACAAGGATCTATGTCATCCTCATCTTTATGCAATAAACAATAACGTATAGAATAGGCAGCGGCATCCATGATATTGTGAAGCGATTGTTCATTCAGTTGCATACAATTCTGGAATGAGAAGTCTACTGGGTCACCACTTGATGGTCTACAAGGTGACACAATTTCCAACGACTCGCAATAATCAGCATCTAGTCTTGCAATGGATGGTGGGAGTTCTGGTAAAGAACGAAGCCTCCTACAATGCCTTATACTAAGAAATCGCAATCCTAAAAGATGCTTAGTGTTATTGGGGAGGTCAATTATGTTACGGCAGCAATCCAGCACCACTACTCTTAAAGACAACATGCTATCGAAAAAGATATGTAGCTTCAAATCATCAATGATTTGACAGCCGTAAAGCCTAAGAACCGTCAAACTTGTCAAGCAAGATAATTGGTTGGGAAGGTTCACAAGTCTTGAGCCACCAAGACTGAGCGCTTCCAATTTACTTGAACGCACTACAGATGGGTGCAAGATTTTAATTGCTGTTGATTCTAAATTCAATTCTCTCAGTTTATTAGATGACACTGAGAACTCCTTAAGATTCCAGCACCACTGCACATTGATATCTTTTAGAGATTCTAAATGTAACTCACTTTTTAAACTCTCAAGTTTCTTGCACTTATATAAGTCCAACTGAACAAGCGAGTGGAGAGACAAGATTGAGGAATGAACAGAGTACAAACTTTCGCATTCCACAAGTCGTACCACTTTGAGATTCAAGCATTTAGAGAGATTGGGCAGCTCTTGGAGTTGTTTGGAACCACTAAGGTCTATCTCTTGTAAGCTCACAAAATCCTATACCAACAAAGAGAGACATTTCAAATGAGGACATCAAGAAGTTTCAACTGAATGAAAAACATGAAGCACAAATAAGGTTATACATACATGCACTCCGTTCCAAAGCTTTTGTAGATGGCTATTGCGCATGGAGAGCTTAACAAGTTTTTCAGGACAAAAAGTGGACGGCAGAGATTTAAGCGGAAATCCATACCACTCTAGATACCTCATCTTATTAGGAAGAAATCTGAGACCTTCTGGAAGATGCACATGACTTGGGCCCCAGCGAGAATAAAATTTGAGAATTCTCATATTAGGCATCTTCTTGAAAATGTCGGCTCCCAAATGTAGATCTTTAATTTGAGAAACATCCAACTTTATTCCTTCAACTTTCTTTGATCCCTTAAAAAAGAGAATAAAGAAACCATAGTAATGTAAATTATATCATAATTACATTCACATTATTCATAAAGTAAAAAATGTATAGGTTAGAAAAGAGAGTATGAATTTCTTACCATGTTATTAGCTAAAACATCATAAATTTCTTCAAAATTGCATAATCTACTATGTCTTTCAGGCTCATCAATAGACTCTTCACAAGCTATTTTTAAACCCATTGCTTGTATTAAATCATGCATTTTAACATGTAAACCATCATAGACGTCTATGAGAGCCTTGTCATGAAGTGTTCTTATCCCAATTGCTCCAGAGAGACCAAAGCTATCTAATAAACTGATTACAATTTCTGTCAACTCTCCCTTCAAAAAGCAAGCAATGTCTAGAAATATTTTCCTCTCCTCCTCATCCAATCCATCATAACTCCATCTCAACACCTTTTGAATATCTTTATGAGGACTCTTCTCAAGTTTCCTTAAAGCACTCTTCCATTCAATTTCACTTCTACCACGAAGATATGAACCCAAAACTTTTAAAGCCAACGGAATTCCTTGCGCATAAACAACTGCTGTTTTTGTTAGTTCTTCATACCCCATTATGGGTAGGCTAGTGCTGAGGGCATTCAAGCTGAAAAGTTCAAGGGATTGATGGAACTTCAATTCCTTAACCTTATATATTATGTCAACTCCTTTGCTAAGCGCGTGCTTATCTCTTGTTGTGATGAGAATTTTACTTCCTGGCCCAAAACAAAAAGGCCCTCCAACCAAATATTCTAATTGCTCCAAAGTACTGATATCATCAAGAACGACAAAAACTTTCATACGACTAAGCCTAGTCTCAAGAAAAGTGGTCGTGGCATCAATAAGGAGATCTTCCTTTAGCATGCAAGAGAGAAATTTGTGACGTAATTCAGCAATTCCATTTTGAGACTTTTCCCTAACGTTTTCCAAGAAGCAAGAACCTTCATAATGGGAAGAATATTTTAAAAATATAAATTTGGCAATGGTTGATTTGCCGATACCCCCCATGCCCCATATTCCAATGCTTTTAGCGTCTTTCAACAATGATTCTATCTCTTTGCAGTTGTCATCAATACCCACGAGTCCCTTTAATTCAGCAGGCGGGTACTTGTGATTCAATTTCTGCAACATGTCTTTGACAATCTTTTGAATCAATTCAGATTCATCCCTAACGCATGAAAAATAAAAGGTCGAAAAGAGGAAAAGCAATAATAAGCCGCAAAAAAACAAAGATTTATGAAGGATAAAAGATAAATGATACATAAACAAAGGTTAAATCGAATAGAGTATATATATCAAGAACACATTAAACTATTGATCAGAAAATTGGCTAGAATTTCTTGATAATTTGATCCATCACGTAAATCACTGCTAATCCCATCATTTGTGAATAGGAGAAAAAAACATAATGAGTGTATTAATTACCTGAACGTGTGAGAGTCATAACCAGCTAAGTTTGCAGCTTCATGAAGAGTTTGCTTCCACATTTGCATTTTGTGTTGGTCAACCTTGAGATCTCTCTCATAATTCTCAAATGCTTGCTCGAAAACCCCAGTCTGATTGCGTACATGAGATGGCTCAACTTTATAGAAGACAGGAACAACAATCTGTCCTTGAACCCTTTTGCAATGGAGTATATGGGTGAGTTCATCCAAGCACCATCTTGAAGAAGCATAATTTTCAGAGAACACAACCACAGATGCATATGAATCCTCGATAGCTAGAAGAAGTGATGGTGAGATCTCATCTCCTTTCACGAGTTGGGAGTCTATGTAGCTTCTGATGCCTTTTCTGCGGAAAGCATCATAAAGATGGCTAGTGAAGTTGGAGCGAGTGTCCTCCCCCCTAAAGCTGATGAAAACGTCATACTTCTTGGGGAGGGATTGAGCAGAGAAAGAGGATGAAGTAGCAAGAAGGGCCATATCTCTATCTGATTGAGCAACAGGGAGAGCACTGTGTAGTATTGAGAACTGTTTAGGAAAAAATCAGAGATGAGTATCAGAAGATGCAGATGAGTGGAAGAAGAAATAGGCTACGCGGTCATGTTTTGATTGGTTTAGCAATTTCCTTGAAGGATGGAATTAGCTTGTTATGCAAAGTCTGCAACTTTATGACTTCCAGTCAAAGAGTGTAGTTAACTAATTAATTAGTGTGCGTGTCTGTGTCCGCCACGTAATTTCCAGGGAGGAGGCATTCATAGTTTTCATCATCAAAAGAGTCTAGCTATAAGACTTGATAGTCAAAAAGACGGGTGTTGATGGATTAAACTAAAAATTAATATAAAGAACCAAAAAAATACTCTAACCTTCTTTTTTCTTCTACACTAAAGTTTGCAGATAGAAAATATGGAATAGAATAGAAGAAATAGTATAAAAATAATACCTAGAATTAAACTATTATAATATCACGAGATATATAGTAAGCACTATATACCTTTTTTAAATCAAATGAAAATAGAAAGTTTTGCTATTAATAATAACCATAAGATAATGTCCGCAACATCTTCATTTAGAAACATTCTTTTTATCAAACAAAAAGTAACATGCACTCTGGGTGTACGTGGGGGCCAAAAAAATGTACGTAGCACCAAACCACAAATTCCTTGTAATAGACATTTAATGTGTATAGATAAGCAAAAACTGCCCACTCTATTACACAACATATGATACACAATAACAATTTCACATAATTCAAAATGCTCTTTACAACCAGCAAAATCAATATTCAATTCTCCTCATGCTTCTCTTTTTCCTTATTCGAGACTCCACCTTCTAAAACAGAGGAACAATGATGCAACACACCTCTTCTGATGCAAACAGAGGAGAGTGTGGGGGGATGGTTACAGAAGCAGAGATTAGAGGAAGAGATAAGGGGAAAACAGATTAGACAGATACTTTGTTTGGACAAAATGGTGGCTGCAAAACTCTTCTAATGGCTCGCCTCACAGCCATGCTTGTAAATCCAACAACACCATACAACCAGACTTTTGTACCAACAAAATTTCTCATAATTAAATAAAGACGACCAAATTGTTGAGAAAAATATTCATATTTAGTATTCGACAGTATATCGAATAAAATTATCTCTAATAGAAAAACACTTATGTTTAAGAGAGAGAAAATGTAGATAACCAAAAAGAAGCCTCAATGGTGAATCCAAAGCAAAGCTTTATGCTCATGCCAAAAAGGTATTAAAAAAAAAAAAAAGATTTGTGTCAGTGAACAACTGTTGATTCCTTCTTGTAATTTCCTGCCTTCCAAGTAGCATGCCCATTTCAATACCATCTAGGCATCTACAAAGTCAATTTGAAACTATAATATGATGAGAGATAAAATAAACATTATATACTATCTCTTTTTTCTTTTTTTAAATCAAATTAAAATAGAAAGCTCCGCTAATAATAATAACTATAAGATACTATTTATGTCTGCAACATCTTCACTTCAAAACACTTAATTGAGTTGTTTACACCATACTATACTTGTGTAAAATCACACAAATATGGTACTTCAAAATATTAATAAAACAAACCAACCACACAAGATTACGTTCATAAAGCATGCTAGTAACTAGCAAATATACATCATAATTCAAAATACTTTTATAACTAGCAATGCCATATTCAATTCTCAATTTCTCCTCATGTTTCTCGTTTCCCTTATCTGAACCTTCGCCTGTAAGAGAGTGACCCCTAAACAAAGTCAGAGGTCGACAAAAGAAGAACAAGGGACAAATGTAACATTCTCAATTATAATGATGACCTACTACTTACTGCATTAAAATTGCTAGAGATCCTAAGTCATATACCACAAGACACAAATCCTACAAACAAGAGAGTTGGACGGAGTATTAAAATAAGTTGAAAAGGAGCAATTTTAGGTAGGCTTTACGATTGAGTTTTTTGACTCCTACGTTGCAATTTGCATGTTGTTATAATAATTGTAGTTCGTAAATAGCATAAATGTATTTCCTTCTTTTAATCAGAATCTACAATTGAAGACAATCTGTCTTCAAAGAATCAAGAATCACTTCCATCAAGAGGAAAAAACAGAGAAATAAAATTGACCGAATGAGTTTCAACATCAAAATTTAATATGCGATGAAAAATCCTCAAAAGCTGCACTTTCAAACCTTTAAGAGGAACCTAAACGAAATGCTTCAAAGGAGAAGATTCTTGATACAGAATAAGTTCAATTTTCCTACTATCAGATAAGAAAATAATGCCAATAACAATATAACATAGAGGCATGAATGTAGGACGCTATGAGTTCAATTTGTTTGGAGCTAAATAATGTTCTGTTTTCTCTTCCTTTTTAACGCCACCAATGATGTTGACCAGTGCCGTGGTAACACGGTGCTTTGACCTGTGCTGGCTAAGATATTTAATTATATAATAATTCATTTTTAACCTTCTCCTTCTTCTTCAATTCCTTCAAAAATGCTAATGAACCACTTCAACTAGTCTCCCTTAATTAAACTAATCTACAAATTTTAGGTATCAATAAAGCCTAGTTTAATTAGAATTAGATTTTCCAAGTATAAAACATAGCTAAGCGTATAAAAGACAATCTTACTTGCTTTTTTAGTTTTTAAAAAAAAATAGATTTTCAAATCATTCTTTATATAACTAAGTCTTCTCTTCTTCCATCTAATTGAAGTTCAATTGAGTTTGTCCTTCTTTCTTTTTTTTTGTTTATCCTGTTGGATAGTCGGCCCCACACTTTCAGGCCAAGCTCAAGAGATAGTTAAGAATAAACACCCTAAATTCATGGGGGAAATGCACAAATAGAAGCCTAATAGAGAGAGAAAACATTCATAGAGAGAGAGTACTTGCCTAGAGAAGGGAGTTCAAGTTACATCCACTCTCAAAGTAGAGCATCCATTCAATCAATACGAGGACGTGTGTTGGCATCGGTGCCCTCATCAAACTCGATTTTTTTTTTTAAACTGAGGTGGTTGTTGTTGCTCTTCAACATCTCGAGGCCTCTTCCTTTTCCTCTCCACTTTCATTTGCTCAACAAAGTTCTGACATTCTGAGACAAATACTGGCCACACCCCGCATTCTTTGATCATCAACTTGCTTGTTCTTTTGCCAGCTAAAGCAAAGAATTCAAAGCGAAGCTTTATGTTAGTGAACAAATGTTGATTTCTTCTTGCAATTTTATCCATTATCCATTCATATGCTAAGTCATCATTCCATATGAAAACATTTCATATCACGAAATAGCACTTCAAGTGTTGAATGTGCCCCCAACAAAACCTTCTTCCGAGCAGCAGGCGCATATCAAATTGGGAATTTCATAATTAGTTTCTGAGTGAACACCAAGTACAGTACAGAAGAAGAAATTCGCAAAGTCTGAAAGTCGAGGGAGTTCAACAATCACGGAGCTTTGTGCTGCCCTGTATTTGAACCACTCCGGTACTCTGTTTCCGGCAACACAAATCAAAAAACGAACCAGGTAATTCTTGTTTTTATGCAGTAAAAAATAAGGTATAGAATAGGCAGCAGCCTCCATGATGTTGGGAAGCGATTGTTCATTCAGTTGCACACAATTCTTGAATGAGAAGTATACTGGCTGACCACCTGATGGTCTACAAGTTGACACAATTTCCAACGACTTGCAATCACTGGCATTTAGGTTTGCAATGGATGGTGGTCGTTCTGGTACCTACAATCCATTACTCTAGCAATTTCAATCCTAAAAGATGCTTAGTATTACTGGGGAGGTCAGTTATATTACCGCACCTATCCAGTGCCATTTGACTTAGAGACAACATGCTATCGAAAAAGATATGTAGCTTCAAATCATCAATGATTTCACAGTCGGAAAGCCTAAGAACCGTCAAACTTGTCAAGCAAGATCATTGGTTGGGAAGGTTCACAAGTCTTGAGCTACTAGGACTGAGCTCTTCCAATTTACTTGAACCAGTAAGACTGATCTCTTCCAACTGAGCAGAAGAAGAGGATGAAGCAGCTTCAAAGGCCATATCTATGCGACCGAGCAGCAGGGAGAGCACTGTGCTTTATTGAGAACTTTGAAAATAAATCAGAGATGAAGCATCAGAAGCTGCAGATAATCGGTGGAAAGAAGAAAGAGGCCACACAGTTGTGTTTTGATAGGCTTAGCAGTTTCCTTGAAGCGCGGGATTGATTCTTCAGGTAAAGTCTGCCGCTTTATGACTTCAGTCAAAAAGTGGGGCGTTGATTAAATTAATGAGTGTGCGCGTCTGTATCCGCCATGTAATTCCCAGGGAGGAGGGGGTGATGGTTTTCAGCATCAAAAGAGTCTGGCCTTTTGACTTGATAGTCAAAAAGATGGGTATTCAATTATTGATGGATTAAACTAAAAATTAATATAAATTTAAAGAACCAAAATAACAAAATGCACTTTAACCTTCTTCTTTTCTACGCGAATGTTAACAAGAAAATGGAATATAATTAGAAGAAAAACATACGTTGAACATACATCTCTCATATCCTCAAAGTGAAAAATAGTACTCCTCTAGTTCTGAATATAAAACCTATTTAACTAATTTAATTAGATCAAGAAAAATAGTTAAATTAGTTAACTATAAGAAATATGACATGTTTTTCCTAAAATAACATAATCATCTTCGTTAATATCCTCCCTCTCTCTTTCACTTGATTATGGTTGAGAGAGTATCCATAGGAGTAATTTAGGAAAAATTGATAAACATGAGAAATAGGTCTTATATTTAGGACCAAAATCAACTCAACAATTAAATTTTATATTAAGAACAGTAGAAATATATAAAAATAATATCTAGAATTAAATCATTATAATATAGTGAGATTTTTTTTTTTTGGGTAAGCAGATACATTCTTTTTATTAAATGAAGACATGCGCTCTGAGTGTACATGTGGGCCAAAAAAAATGAAATATAGGAAGTACCAAATCGCAAATTCCTTGTACCAGACATTTATAGATAAGCAAAAACTGCCCAATCTATTATACAACATATGATATACATACTACTACCTCCAGTCCTAATTATAAGAGCCAGTTGACTAATTTGAAAAGATTAAGAAAGTAAGTTGAGTTAGTTATTTGTCCTAAATAGGTGTTGTCTTTCCTAAAATATTCTTACTAATCAAGTGTGGTGACTAAAACTCTTATTATTAGAAGGGTTACTTTGGAAAAAAAATGTATAAATATGAGAGACAAAGTGGATTGGGGTCTTATATTTAGAACCAAAATAAAAGTCAAACATGATCTTATATTAAGGACCGGAGGTAGTAATATTTTCAAATAATTCAAAATCCTCTTTACAACTAGCAAAAGCAATATTCAATTCTCCTCATGCTCCTTTTTTTTCCTTATCCAAGGCTCCACCGGTAAAAAAGTGACCCCCAAACAGAGAAACAATGATGCAACACACACTTCTTACGATGCAACCAGAGGAGAGTCTGGGGGATGGTCACAAAAATGGAGATCAGAGTATGAGACAGTAAGCAATGGATCAATTTATAAGAGAAAAAAATTAGTTGAAAAAATTAATAAATATATATTTAAATTAATTTAGCAATTTTTTTAATCTTTTCAAATTAATTAACTTGATATTCTATTAAGAGCTGGAGGTAGTAATTTGTTTGGACAAAACGGTGGCCGCAAAACTCTTACTCAAGCTGTCAGAGGCAACCTCATTGGCCATGCTTCTGTATCCCAACAACACAAATACAACCGGACTTTTGTTCCAACAAAATTTCCTATTAAACCTAGACAGCCAAATATAAAGCCTCAATGTTGAATTCAAAGCAAAGCTTTAAGTTCATGCCGACAAAAACAAAAACAAAAAACAAAACAGAGCTTTATGTCAGTGAACTGCTGTTGATTCCTTCTTGTAATTTCCTGCCTTCCAAGTAGCATGCCCATTTCAATACCGTCTACAAAGTCAATTTGAAACTATAATATGATGAGAGATAAAATAAACACTATACTACTATATCTCTTTTTATCAAATTAAAATAGAACGCTTTGCTAATAATAATAACAACCATGAGATACTATTAATGTCTGCAACATCTTCAATTCAAAACACTCTTTTTATCAAATGAAAACACTCTGAGAACTTGACAAAATCCGAAGAACAAGTCTATAACATCTTCAACCGAGTCATTTACATCCTTAAGATACTTGGGTAAAATCATACAAATATGGTATTTCAAATTATCAATAAAACAACCCAGCTACGCAAGATTATGTCCCTGGAGCATGCTAGTAACCAGCAATGTACATTGCTGTTTTCTCATAATTCAAATTACTCTTTATAACCAACAAAAGCCATATTCAATGCTCAACTTCTCCTTATGCTTCTCTTTTTTCTCAGCTGACACTTCACCTGTAAGAATGCAACCACTAAACAAAGTGAGAGGGTGACAAAAGAAGAAGGGAAAAAAGAAAATTAATATTCTCAATTATAATGATAACCTGCTAATCATCGCTCCATTAAAATTGCTGGATCTGAGTCTTACCACTCTCGTTCTTTTTTAATTGGCACTTATAGGAAGGGATGTTGATCCTTTTTATTTGTCACTTTTATCTCTTCTTATGCTTCATTTCCAATCCTGTCCTTATTAATTAAGGGAGATAAATGTAAAGGTGGAGAAAGAGAGAATAAGTGAGAAAAAAATATACTAGCTATTTTATAAGAGTAAAAGTGAAAGATTTTATGTATTCAATAATTTCTTTCGTATGTGAGAAACTACTATAAGTGATATACTACAAGAGAAATCCTGCTAACAAGAGAGTTGGATGGGGTATTAAAAGAAGCTGAAAAAGAACAATGTTAGGTAGGGTTTACGATTGATTATTTTGAATCCTACATTGCAATTTGCATGTTGTTAAAATAATTGTAATGCGTAGATAGTATAAATTTATTTCCCTTTTCTTAAATCAAAATCTACAATTGAAGACAATCTGCTTTCAAAAAATCAAGAATCACTTCCATCAATAGAAGAGAAAAAGTAAAATAAAATTCACAGAATGAATTTTAACGTCAAAATTTAATATGCATTAACAAGTTGCACAAGCAAACCTTTAAGAGGAATCTAAACAAGGTGCTTCTAAGCATGAGGTTCTTGATGTAGAAATAGTTCAATTCTCCTAATATCATTTAAGTAAAATAATGTCAATCACATTGTAATCTAGTGGCATAAATATTTTCTTACAAGTAGAGAGTTTTGTGTTCCATCTGCTTGTGATTTCAAACCATTTAACATGCACTTTCATGTCTAACTCAATAGACAAACAAATTAAATGATAAACATTTGCTCTTAAGTTAGGAGAAAAATAAAATGCAAAAATAGAAACCCAATAGAGACAGAACAATTGGAAAACATCCAGAGCAGCGAGCTTATACAAGCAAGCTTCAAAAAATGTCCTCAAAACCTCAATTATGTTCAATTTTCTTCCCCTAATTTTAACGCCACTGACAATGTTGATTGATGCCGGTCGTAACATAGTGCTTTGACCAAAGCTGGCTAACCTGTTTAATTATATAATACTTTATTTTTAACCTATTTCTCCTTATTTCTTCTTCTTTCATATTTTAAATTCCTTTAAAAATACCAGTGAAACACTTTAACTAGTCTCCTTCAATTAAACTAATCCATAAATTTTAGGAATCTTACGTTAAAGCCTAGTTCAATTAGAATTAGATTGTTCAAGTATAAAAAAATAGCTTGAGTGTATGAAAGACAATCTCACTTGCTTTATTAGTTTTTTCTTTTTTCAAAATAGATTTTCGAGTCCTTCTTTATATAAAACCATTCACGAGGAAAATGCAGAAATAGGAGCCTAATAGGGAGATAAAACAATCACACACGGGGAGGGGGCGAGAGAGAGAGAGAGAGAGAGATTACTTGCCTAAAGAATGAAGAACGGCGTTCAGATTATATCCACTTTAAGTGCTGGCACGTGCACCCTTGTCAAACTCCATTTTTTTTAAGTGAGGCGGTGGTTGTTGCTCTTCAACATCGTGAGGCCTCTGCCTTTTCCTCCCCATTTCCATTTGCTCAACAAATTTCTGACATTCTGAGACAGATACTGGCCTCACCCCGCATTCTTTGATCATTAACTTGCTTTTGCCAGAGATCATTGACTTTCCAAACCCATAAATTACAGCAGAGAATTCAAAGCGAAGCTTTATGGTAGTGAACAACTGTTGATTTCTTCTTCTAATTTCATCCATTACCCCTTTATCTGCTAAGTTTTCATTCCATATAAAAAGATGGTCAAATTTCATATCTGTAAAAGCCACTCGAAGTGCTGAATGTGCCGCATCAAAACCTTCCAAGTAGCATGTGCATTTCAAAGAAATGTCAAAATTACTTTCTGGGCGACCACCAAGTACAACGCAGAAGAAGAAATCCTCCAAGTCTGAAATTCGCGGGAGTTCAACAATCACGGAGCTTTGTGCTGCCCTGTATTTGATCCACTCTGGTACTCTGCTTTCAGCAACACAAATCGAACAATGAGGCCTGGGATTCTTATGTTTATGCAATAAATAATAAGTCAGAGAGTAGGCAGCAGCCTCCATGATATTGTGAAGCGATTGTTCATTCAGTTGCACACAGTTCTGGAATGAGAAGCATAATGGGCCACCGCTTGTTGGTCTACAGGCTGACACAATTGCCAACGACTTGCAATCATCGCATTGCAGGTTTGTAATGGATGGTGGGAGTTCTGGTAAAGAACGAAGCCTCCTACAATCCCGTAGGGTAAGCAATTCCAATCCTAAAAGATGCTTAGTATTACTGGGGAGGTCAATTATGTTACCGCACCTATCCAACAACACTTCTCTTAAAGACAACATGCGATCGAAAAAGATATGTAGCTTCAAATCATCAATGACTTCACAGTCGGAGAGCCTAAGAAACGTCAAACTAGTCAAGCAAGATAATTGGTTGGGAAGGTTCACGAGTCTCGAGCCACCAAGACAAATCTGTTTCAATTTACTTGAACGCGCTACAGACGAGTGCAACATTTCAATTCCTGTTGATTCTAAATACAATTCTCTCAGTTCATCCGATGACACTGAGAACTCCTTGAGATTCGAGCACCCTATCACATTGATATGGTTCAGAGATTTTAAATGCAACTCACTTTTTAGACTCTCAAGTTTCTTGCAGTTATATAAGTTCAAAACAGCAAGCGAGTGCAGAGACAAGATTGAGGGATGAACAGAGCACAAACTTTTGCATCCCTGAAGACATACCACTTTGAGGTCCAAGCATTTGGAGAGATTCGGCAGCTCTTGTAGCTGTTTGGAATATCTGAGGTCTATCTCTTGTAAGCACACAAAATCCTAAACCGACAAAGATAGACAGTTCCAATGAGATCATCAAGAAGTTTCAACTGAATGAAAAACACGAAACACAAACAAGTTTATACATACCTGCACTCCGCTCCAAAGCTTTTGTAGATGGCTATTGCGCATGCAGAGCTTAACAAGTTGTGCAGGACAAAAAGTGGAGGGCAGAGCTTTAGGTAGGAATCCATACCACTCTAGATACCTTATCTTATTAGGAAGAAATTTGAGACCTTTTGGAAGGTGCACATGACTTGAGCCACTGCCAGAATAAAATTTGAGAAATCTCATATTAGGCATCTTCTTGAAAATGTCAGCTTCCAAATGTAGATCTTTAATCTGAGAAACATCCAACCTTATTCCTTCGATTTTTTTTGATCCCTTAAAAAAGAGAATAAAGAAACCATAGTAAGTAAATCACATGATATTACATTCATATCACATCATTCATAAAGTCACGTATGATATTTAAAAAAAAAAAAAAAAGAAAGGGGGATTTGTTACCTTATTGTTAGCTAAGACATCGTAAATTTCTTTAGAATCACATAATCGGCTACGTCTTTCTGGTTTACCATTAGATTCTTCACGAACTATTTGCAACCCCATTTCTTGCATCAAATCATGCATTAGTACAATATCATAATGCACATCTATGAGAGCCTTGTCATGGAGTGTTCTTATGCCGATTGCTCCAGAGAAGTCAAAGCTATCTAATAAACTGATTACAAGTTCTGTCGATTCTCCCTTCAAAAAGCACACGATGTCCAGAAATATTTTCTTCTCCTCATCATCCAGTTCATCATAACTCAACCTTAACACCTTTTGGATATCTTTATGAGGACTCTTCTCAAGTTTTCTCAAAGCACTCTTCCATTCAACTTCACTTCTTCCACGAAGATATGAACCCAGAACTTTTAAAGCCAACGGAATTCCTTGTGCATAAACAACTGCCCTTTTTGTTAGTTCTTCATATCCCATTATAGGCAAGCTAGCGCTGAAGGCATTCAAGCTGAAAAGTTCAAGGGATCGGTGGGACTTCAATTCCTTAACCTTATATATTACATCAACTCCTTTGCTGAGCGCATGCTTGTCCCTCGTTGTGATGAGAATTTTACTTCCTAGCCCAAAGTAAAAAGGTTCTCCAACCAAATATTCTAATTGCTCCGCCGTACTGACATCATCAAGAACAACAAAAACCTTCATACGACTAAGGCTCGACTCAAGAAAATAGCTTGCAGTTTCCATAAAGAGATCATCCCTTAGCAGACGAGAGAGAAATTTATGGCGTAATCCAGTTAGTCCATTTTTAGACTCTTCTCTTACATTTTCCAAGAAGCAAGAACGATCATAGTCGGAAGAACATTTTAAAAATATATTTTTGGCAATGGTTGACTTGCCGATGCCCCCCATGCCCCATATTCCAATGGTTTTTGTTTTGGCATCTTTCAACAATAATTCAATCTCGGCGCAGTTGTCCTCAATGCCTATGAGTCCTTTTAGTTCAGCTGGGGAGTACTTGTGATTCAGTTTCTGCAATATGTCTTTGACAATCTTGTGAAGCAATTCGGATTCATCCCTGACATAAGAAAAATAAAAGGCAAAAAAGGAAGAGCGCAATTAAGCAGAAAAAATTAATTTATTAAAAACAAATGATAAGTGATAAGTGATAAATACACAGAGAATAAACTGTATAGTGTATAAATATAAATGATAAATGATAAAGACCTAAAAATGCTTACCAAAAATTGAATAGAAGTCTTAAATCATTTGATGCATCAAGTAAATCTCTGCAAACACCATCATTTGTGAATGGAAGAAAATTAATGAGTTTATTAATTACCTGAACGTGTGAGAGTCAAAACCTGCCAAGTTTGCAGTTTCATTGAGAGCTTGCTTCCATATTTGCATCTTGTGTTGGTCAACCTTGAGATCTCTCTCATATATCTCAAATGCTTGCTTGTAAATGTCGGTCTGCTTGCGTACATGAGATGGGTCGATTCTATAGAAGACAGGAATAACAATCTGTCCTTGAACTCTTTTGCAATGGAGTATATGGACGAGTTCATCCAAGCACCATCTTGAAGAAGCATAATTTTCAGAGAACACCACCACTGATACATATGAATCCTCGATAGCTTGCAAAAGTGATGGTGAGATCTCATCTCCTTTCACAAGTTGGGAGTCCATGTAGGTTCTAATTTGTTTTCTACAGAAAGCGTCATAAAGATGGATGGTGAAGTTGGAGCGAGTGTCCTCACCCCTAAAGCTAATGAAAACGTCATTCTTCTTGGCGACGGATTGAGCAGAGGAAGAGGATGAAGCAGCAACAAGGGCCATATCTCTATCTGATTAAGCAGCGGGGAGAGCACTGCGTAGTATTGAGAACTTTTTGGAAACAAATCAGAGATGGAGTGTCATAGGATGCAGATGAGCGGACGAAGATACAGGATAGGCGGTTATGTTTTGATAGGCTTAGTAATTTCCTTGAAGGATGTAATTAATTCTTTAGTCAAAAGTGGGCCAGTCAAAAGTGAGGCCAATTAATGAGTAGGCGTGTTTGTGGATGCCATGCAGTTTCCAGGAAGGAGGGATTGATTTGACAATCTTCATCATCAAAAGAGTGCAACTTTATGACTCGGTAGTCAATAAGATAGGTTGTTATCCTCTAATCTAAAATGTTAAACTAGGGCTAGTTACTGATGAACTTCGGGTTAATTTCCAGTTTCCCTGACTCTAATTCCCCTGCCTTACAACAATAAATCCAAGCTAAGAAAGAATTACTTAGAAAAACCTTAATAATTACTGGGATATATTTGTGTATCACACCATATATATTAGATAAGAGCAAGACTTGCCTGAAATTTTTATAATTTTTTAAATTATTTTTGAGATAAGTATTTCAGATTTCAATATATTATGTAGGCTCATTTAAAATAGTTCTTTTTAGTTAACCAAAAAAAAAAGTTCTTTTTACGCTAAATTTCTTTTGAAGAAGGTAACAAGCTAACAAGAAACGTCTGATGGTGGAAAAATTAAATGACTTGTTTGATGATTTCTTCCCAAAACGGACGTAATATTAATCATTTACCTATCTTGGATCATTAGTCAATGAAATTTCATTGCTTGTTGAATCATGGGCAGAAATGATTGAAGCTCCCTATTAAAGTACCATCATCATTCTTTTGCTCTCACATCAAAGTGTATTCACATAAAACATAGTACTCAATTATGAAGGAAGAAAATCTGGATCACGGTACTTATATACATTATGTTAAGTTTTCTAATGATCATACGAAAACAAGTAATATACTCCTCCGGTCCTAATTATAAGACCCAATTGACTTATTTGAGGAGATTAAGGAAGTAAGTTAAGTTGGTTATTTATAATAAATAAGTGTTGTCATTCCTAAAATATCCTTGCTAATTAAGTATATTGGCTAAAACTATCATTATTAGAAGGATTATCTTGGAAAAAATGCATAAATATAAGAGACAAAATGGATTGGGTCTTATAATTAGGACCAAATAAAAAGTCAAATTGGGTCTTATAATAAGGACCGGAGGAGTACTATGCAGATGAGTGGAAGAAGAAATAGGCTACGCGGTTATGTTTTGATAGGCTGAGTAATTTCCTTGAAGGATGTAACTAATTCTTTAGTTCTATGACTTTCAATCAAAAAGTGAGGGCAATTAACGAGTAGGCACGTCTGTGGATGCCATGCAATTTCCAGGAAGGAGGGATTGATTTGACAATCTTCATCATCAAAAGAGTGCAACTTTATGACTTGGTAGTCAAGAATCAAGAAGATAGGTTGTTATTCTCTGATCTAAAATGTTAAACTGCTGGGGTTAGTTACAGATGATCTTCAAGTTAATTTCTAGTTTCCTTGAGTTTAATTCCCCTGCCTTTTTTTTTTTGCCAGCATAATTCCCTTGCCTTACAACAATAAATCCAAGCTAAGAAAGAATTACCTAGAAAAACATTAATAACTATTGGAAAAATTAGATAAGAGTAAGACTTGCTTGAAATTTATATAATTTTTTGACTGAAGTATACATTTGGTCTTTTAACTTTGTACAATGTTTCAATTTGATCCTTTAACTTTAAAAAACATACATTTGGTCCTTTAATCCTAAAATCATTAGGATTCGATGATGATTTTTTGTAGTAATCATGGATATTTTGAAAATTAAACTTAATATGTTAGTATTTGATAATATTTTATTAACATTTAAGATGTTAATATCACCATTTTTAAAAAAAATTTAGGGTTAAGAGACTAAAAGTATACATTTTAAAGTTAAGGGACTAAATTAAAATCTTGTACAAAATTAAAAAATCAAAAGTATATTTTAGCCTAATTTTTTAAATTATTTTTGAGATAAGTATTTCATATTTCAATGTATTATGTAGGCTCATTTAAAAGAGTTCTTTTCACATGAAATTTCTTTTGAAGAAGGTAACGACTAACGAGCTAACAAGAAACGTATGATGGGAAAAAAGCAAAAAGCAAAAACAAGAAACATCTCAACCCCTGACATACAAACGGCATAAAAAGGAGGAAAAATAGACACATAAAAAGTTAATTTTATATAAGTTGAAAAGATATCATTCATGTCCTTAAAATAAAAAAAAAGTATAAAAATAATAGCTAGAATTGAATTATTATAATATAACGAGATATACAGTAAGTATTATATCTTCTTTTCCAATCAAATGCAAATAGAAAGCTTTGCTAATAATAATAACTATAAGATAAATGCGTCCAGAACATCATCATTTAAAAACATTCTTTTTATCAAATGAAAACATGCACTTTGAGGATTTGACAAAATCTGTCTATATTTATATTATCAACTAATAACATATGAAATTATCAATAAAAACAATAGATTGAAGGCCACATAGAATCATATTATTGCATCATTTTGACATACCAAAATATACAAGAATTTCAAAAAGTCTACATTTATATTATCTCTAGTCCTATTTATAAAGAACATTTAAAAAGTTAAAATTTCTTATAAATAATTTAATGCGTATGGATATATAGGCAAAAACTGTCCACTCTACTCCACAGCACATGATATACAATAATATTTTGACATAATTCAAAAACAACTACCAAAAGCAATATTCAATTCTCCTCATATGCTTCTCAACCAAGAGAATGAATGAAGATCCAAAGGTAGCATTAATGTTCATTTCCTCTCTCAACCTTAGATGCCTATCACTATTGGGATTAAATCTAATGAAAAAAATCAGTTCTTCACATAAAAGCTAGTCAGAAGCCGTTGCTTGTCTTTTACCTTTGAGGCACGTGCATTGTAATCCTCCACTATCATCATCAACTTGAATGAAAAATCTCAATTTTTTTCTGGACACAAATATCTTCTTATAAGAAACAATCCTATTCGAGACACTGTCAGATATCAGATATAAATGCTTCTCTGAACATAGATTATATTAATGGTCTGAACATAGATTATATTAATGGTCTCAATTCCAATATTTAGGCGCAGCCGCCGAAAAAGCCTGGAAAGGATGATGTGGGCCTTTAGGCTCCGGCCCATTGATATAATGATACCACATCTCTTGCCTAAGAGCCCACGATTTGCCCGCGACACATTAACATCCCCCCCCCCTTCCTTTTGAAAAAAGGGGGCACGTCAACGATTAATCTATTGATAAGAATTGGAAGAACAATAATGAAGTACGTGCTGAAACCTCATGTTTAAATATAATTCCATTTTCGTGGCTAAAATAAATTCTTTGGAAACAAAACTAATGCAAGGCCTATCCTTGACAAGTATGAGTTAAAATGAAAGCATTTATATTAATACAAAGTGGAACTGAAAAATATGCAAATGCATGAAAACCAAAACACACATATTTAGTGATTTGAAAGTTTAGCTAAACCGAACAGTTTGACTATTCAGTGGAGGTTTTTATGATGCATTTCGTGAGGCTTGAGTTGTTTATATAATTTAGTTATGATTTCAAATTATTTAGACGTTGCATTTGAGTCGGGGATCCAAATTTAACCATAAACAAAGCAGCTTTTGTGTAATTGAACGAATATGAAGTCAGCTCATTTAACAGTATTTTCACCCTAAAAAATCCTATTTTGCTCATCCTTATCCATGAACGAAACCATCCCCGGAAAAGGGTAATTAATTAAGAAAAATTAAATGATTTGTTTAATGATTTCTTCCCAAAACGGACGTAATATTAGTCATTTACCTATATTGGATCATTAGTTAATGAAATTTCATTGCTTGTTGAATCATGGGCAGAAATGATTGAAGCTCCCAATTAAAGTACTATCATCATTCTTTTGCTCTCACATCAAAGTGCCTTCACATGCTCTTCCTGTATAAATATATATATATATATATATATATATATATAATGAAATGTAATGTAAATTATCATGGAGACTTGCACACATAACATAAAGCAATCACACATCTTTCCATTCCTTTTTGGTTTGAGGCAAGTGACTTATGGTCCACTGCTATCATTATCTATCAATTTATTCATCCTCACTCATACCCAAATTAATTTAAATTATTATCATTATTAATTAATCTCCCTTCTACGCTAACTTAATTGGTCAATTGCTTACATTTATATGCTGCTTCCATTTGATCTCCCTATAATGATTGCCTGGCTTTCAAGTTTTGATCATTAAGTAAGCACACCAAACAAAATACTTGTCAATTACCGCACGGAACCGGATCCCCTCAGAAGCTATTTTCTCAGCGGCCCTCAGAAGCCTAGAATCCTGTCCGTTTAAATGATCTAAAAGCCCACATTACGCTAAGCCATGAAAATAGATGTCAGCTCAGTGGGTCCCACAAAACACCGGCGTCGTCTTCAACCTGGGGCCCGGCTTCTCTCTTCTCTTCCGACTCCCACCTCTTGGTAAACAGCCATCTACCGCATCTCCCACCTCTATTTTTCACTGCTTATCCTCATCCTCCTATTCTTATGTCAGGAGTTTGATTCCCTACAACATTTGAGGTGGTAGCATATAATAATAGTATCAGTATACCTAAAACTATAACATCATATATAGCAAGGGAAAACTGGAAAAAAAGTGAAGAGCACAATATTATTATTGTTCCCCATTAAAATATTTGTGAAAAGTGTGAAACCAGATCAAGAATATGTAAATGTCTATGTCGGTAATGATTTAAAACTGAACCCACTTTCGCCCTCTCCCACCATTCTCACTCATAGTGTTCACTACTCAAAGGTAACCAAACTATTTTCGTACATGCAGAGTTTAGTGACCAATGTTATATTATTTCAAGGTTAAGGAGGGAATCATTAGCTTTTGCTCAGTCTTGTTTTGTTTTGGGATGCAGTGATGAGAGGATATATAT